TGTAAGTTCATAAAGTCGGTTCCCTCAGGCTAAGCTTACCTGAGTTTATCATGATTCTTCTGGTGGCAAGTGATAGTGACTGGAAGTGTATCCCTCCAAGCGCCAACTGTTTCAGGTTCATACTGTATTTCTCATTAATGTAAGGGGAGGGGGATGCCTTTATTTCCTTCGTAGAAAAGAATAGAATAGAAAGCTAGTGAGAGAACTCAGCTTGCAGTGGAATTTTTAAAAATCCTATTACACAACTTATAATCATACATTTTATGGCTAAAATCCTAGAAAAAACTATTAATTGAATCCAGTTCTTTCAAGGGCAAAGCCTCTGCAGTTGTAGGTCAGGCCATTTTTAGCATTTTGTTTTTAGAATATATGTTGCTCAAACTGTGCTAGGCTGTACTGTAGTAACAACATTTTTTTTTTCCTTAAACAAACACCCAGATCTTACTCACTTAAAAAAGGATAATTTCTTGCTCATGTCATCATCTTGTGTTGACCATTTGGCTGTTTTTGATGGTTTGGAAACTCGAACTGTGGCTTCTTTCATTAAGGAATTCCACACCATCTATTTTTTTCAGTTTCATAGATGGGAGAAAGAAAACATGGAGAATTTATATCCACTGTTTTTGTTTCACTTTGTTTTTAAAAATGAAATGTCAATTTGAGATTTCATATATAAGTGATATAATGAAGCATTTGTTTTTCTGTGTCTGGCTTATTTCCCTTAACATAATGCCTTCTAGATCCAACCTTCTAGACATGGTGGACATGGCAGGATTTTTTTTCTTAAGGTTGAATAATATTCCATTTTAATTATAGACCATATTTTCTTTTTTTTTTTTTAATTCATTTGACCATAGACATTTAAGTTGCTTCTATGTCCTGACTGTTGTTAATGATACGTAAGTGAACAAGGGAGTACAGATATTGCTTTAAGATAGTGGTATATTTCCTTCAGGTATATGCCTAGAGTGGAATTGCCAGATCATGCCATAATAGTCCTATCTTTAATTTTTTATGTAGCTTCCATACCATTTTCCATAATGGCTGCACCAATTTACATTACCATCCATCAGTGTATCAGGGTTCCCTTTTCTCCACATCTGATAATAGCCTTCCTAACTGGTATGAGATGACACCTTATTGTAGTTTTGATTTGCATTTACTTGATGACCACTGAACTCATATCCACGCTTAACTGACTTGAACTGGAAGGAACACATGCCACTTGTGCACTTAACTTACTGATTAAAATGAGTTGTGTGGCTTTACCCTAACTGGGAGGATGGGAAATGTTAAGGGAGCACATGGACCATTCAGTTCAGTTCAGATCAGTCGCTCAGTTGTGTCCGACTCTTTGCGACCCCATGAATCGCAGCACGCCAGGCCTCCCTGTCCATCACCAACTCCCGGAGTTTACTCACACTCATGCCTGTCGATTTGGTGATGCCATCCAGCCATCTCATCCTCTGTCGTCCCCTTCTCTTCCTGCCCCCAATCCCTCCCAGCATCAGGGTCTTTTCCAATGAGTCAACTCTTCGCATCAGGTGGCCAAAATATTGGAGTTTCAGCTTCAACATCAGTCCTTCCAATGAACACCCAGGGCTGATCTCCTTTAGGATGGACTGGTTGGATCTCCTTGCAGTCCAAGGGACTCTCAAAAGTCTACTCCAACACCACAGTTGAAAAGCACCAATTTTTTGCTGCTCAGCTTTCTTCACAATCCAACTCTCACATCCATACATGACCACTGGAAAAACCATAGCCTTGACTAGACGGACCTTTGTTGGCAACGTAATGTCTCTGCTTTTTAATATGCTATCTAGGTTGGTCATAACTTTCCTTCCAAGGAGTAGCATCTTTTAATTTCATGGCTGCAGTCACCATCTGCAGTGATTTGGGAGCCCCAAAAAATAAAGTCTGACCCTGTTTCCACTGTTTCTGCATCTATTTACCATGAAGTGATGGGACCAGATGCCATGATCTTAGTTTTCTGAATGTTGAGCTTTAAGCCAACTTTTTCACTCTCTTCTTTCACTTTCATCAAGAGGCTTTTTAGTTCATCTTCACTTTCTGCCATAATGGTGGTGTCATCTGCATATCTGAGCCATTAGGGGACCTTTAGGTCATTGATGTGTCTTGTTTCCAGTGAGGTCGGCATGTGAACATAGGCATCAAAGGCAAGCCAACCACTGTTGGGGAACCTTGATTTACTTGGTAAAAGGCATATATTAGTTAGTTCATTCATCCTTCCTTCCTCCCTCCCTTTGCTAATAAAAAGGTGCTTTGTGACCACTGACAAAAGTGAGTGGTGTTTAGACTGCAGATAGAGGACTTTGGAGAGTGACAATTAAAATTGTTTATTTTTTTGCAAAAACAACAGAAAAGTTCAAAGAACTGTATAGCTAATATGTCCTTCATCTTGCCTATGAAATGTCTGGCATTATTGAAATGATCATTAATTATTTATAATTCTTCAGTTGATCTAAAAATTCCTCAGAATGGAATTGAATAACCATAAGCACTATCTTGGAAGGTTGAGATTTAGAGAGTAGATTTAATCAAACCTTTTGGTGATATTTACATACTGGCTGGCATTCTTAAAGCTGACACTGGTCTGATAAATCTCTTCAGTATAGTTATTGAAATATATGTTTTTTTTTTCCATTTATTTTTATTAGTTGGAGGCTAATTACTTTACAACATTGCAGTGGTTTTTGTCATACATTGAAATGAATTAGCCATGGGTTTACATGTATTCCCCATCCCGGTCCCCCCTCCCACCTCCCTCTCCGCCCTATCCCTCTGGGTCTTCCCAGTGCACCAGGCCCGAGCACTTGTCTCATGCATCCAACCTGGGCTGGTGATCTGTTTCACCCTAGATATACATGTTTCAGTGCTGTTCTCTTGAAACATCCCACCCTTGCCTTCTCCCACAGAGTCCACAAGTCTGTTCTATACATCTGAGTTTCTTTTTCTTTTTTTGCATATAGGGTTATCGTTACCATCTTTCTAAATTCCATATATATGTGTTAGTATACTGTAATGGTCTTTATCTTTCTGGCTTACTTCGCTCTGTATAATGGGCTCCAGTTTCATCTATCTCATTAGAACTGATTCAAATGAATTCTCTTTAATGGCTGAGTAATATTCCATGGTGTATATGTACCACAGCTTCCTCATCCACTCGTCTGCTGATGGGCATCTAGGTTGCTTCCATGTCCTGCCTATTATAAACAGTGCTGTGATGAACATTGGGGTGCACGTGTCTCTTTCAGATCTGGTTTCCTCAGTGTGTATGCCTAGAAGTGGTATTGCTGGGTCATATGGCAGTTCTATTTCCAGCTTTTTAAGGAATCTCCACACTGTTTTCCATAGTGGCTGTACTAGTTTGCATTCCCACCAACAGTGTAAGAGGGTTCCCTTTTCTCCACACCCTCTCCAGCATTTATTGCTTGTAGACTTTTGGATAGCAGCCATCCTGACTGGCGTGTAATGGTACCTCATTGTGGTTTTGATTTGCATTTCTCTAATAATGAGTGATGTTGAGCATCTTTTCATGTGTTTTTTTGCCATCCATATGTCTTCCTTGGAGAAATGTCTGTTTAGTTCTTTGGCCCATTTTTTGATTGGGTCATTTATTTTTCTGGAATTGAGCTGCAGGAGTTGCTTGTATATTTTTGAGATTAGTCCTTTGTCTGTTGCTTCATTTGCTATTATTTTCTCCCAATCTGAGGGCTGTCTTTTCACCTTGCTTATAGTTTCCTTTGTTGTGCAAAAGCTTTTAAGTTTCATTAGGTCCCATTTGTTTCTTTTTGCTTTTGTTTCTAAAATTCTGGGAGGTGGGTCATAGAGGATCCTGCTGTGATTTATGTCAGAGAGTGTTTTGCCTATGTTCTCCTCTAGGAGTTTTATAGTTTCTGGTCTTACATTTAGATCTTTAATCCATTTTGAGTTTATTTTTGTGTATGGTGTTAGAAAGTGTTCTAGTTTCATTCTTTTACAGGTGGTTGACCAGTTTTCCCAGCACCACTTGTTAAAGAGGTTGTCTTTTTTCCATTGTATATCCTTGCCTCCTTTGTCAAAGATAAGGTGACCATAGGTTCGTGGATTTACCTCTGGGCTTTCTATTCTGTTCCATTGATCTATATTTCTGTCTTTGTGCCAGTACCATACTGTCTTGATGACTGTGGCTTTGTAGTATAGTCTGAAGTCAGGCAGGAAATATATGTTTATAAGGAATTATTATTATGAGTAGATTTTAAGAGGAACAGACTAGTCTTTAAGAATAGTCTCTCCTAATAGTTTATGCATTTATTTCTGTAATTTTTTTTTCATTGAGCTGATTAAGAACTTTGTCATGGAAAAGATTTTTATCTTTTTCTTTTAAAATCTACAGTGCTTTACTAGTACTTGGTATACTCGAAATAATTTTTTCAGTAATGTATGCTGAAAAATAAATGTTTGCATGTGGTGTGCCAAATCTAAGTCTTTTTCCTACCAGCCAAATAATGTCTCCTGGATTCTGACTCATGGTACAATGTCATTGGCAAGATCTTAGTCTTTTACTTTAGTCTTTAACTGCTGGTGTTCTGTAAAGGTGTTTCATAGGCTTCTATTTTCAGAAATATCTTTATGCTACAGAAAGAACTTTGGGGAATACAGAAAATATTTAATAGTTAATTATCTTATAATTTAGCAACCAGAAAATTTCACTTATTGTGACTTTTACACATCTATATTATGACAATTGATAGGGCTGTTAACAAATATGAGACACTTCCAAGTCATCTTGCATTTCATTTTTCTGATTAGTTGAAAGTATAAAGTATATAATGTTTTAAAGTGTATGAAATTAGTAGCCAAATTTGACTAATCAGAGGCATACTATTTGTAAACCTCACTGAGTTGAAATAAACTCTGTTATACAAAGAAAGCATATTTTGATTCTCACCCCTCATGCTTTTTAAAAATGTTTTAAATTTTATTTTATTTTATTTTAGGCAACAGAGATTATGCCAAGGATGATCCATTGGAGTTTAAGTCTCATCAGTGGTTTGGAGCATCTGTGAGGTCAAAACAGGATAAAATTTTGGTAAGTGTTGCGTATTTACTCACAGGTTAAATTTAGTCAGTTTATGTGAAAACACAGCAAGTTTTCTGTTTGAAAGCTGATAGTAAAATTCAGTGTGCTCAGCGGCAGAGAGTCTATTCTGATAACATAGCTCTAATTACCTTGTCCCCAAAGGGCCATCTAGTCAAGGCTATGGGTTTTCCAGTAGTCATGTATGGATGTGAGAGTTGGACTATAAAGAAAGCTGAGCGCCAAAGGATTGATGCTTTTAAACTGTGGTGTTGGAGAAGACTCTTGAGAATCCCTTAGACTGCAAGGAGATCCAACCAGTCCAACCTAAAGGAGAGCAGTCCTGGGTTTTTATTGGAAGGACTGATGTTGAAGCTGAAACTCCAATACTTTGGCCACCTGATGCGAAGAGCCAACTCATTGGAAAAGACCCTGATCCTGGGCAAGATTGAGGGCAGGAGGAGAAGGGGACGACAGAGGATGAGATGGTTGGATGGCATCACTGACTCAATGGACATGGGTTTGGGTGGACTCCGGGAGTTGGTGACGAACAGGGAGGCTGGCGTGCTGCGGTTCATGGGGTCGCAGGGAGTCGGACATGACTGAGTGACTGAACTGAACTGAACGTCACTCTCAGAATAAAAAAACATCACTCTTAGTCTTCATCCTGGCTTTTATCAGCATCTTCGTAGTGCAGTCACTGGCTGCTATCTCTTTGCCATCATCTCTCTCCATCTGACACTTCAGCGACACTCGTCTTGTGATTCCTTCCATACCAAGTCATGTCACTTAGTTCCTTAGTGTTTGTCCCTCTGCTTATCTCATGTGTAACTTACTGCTTTTCACTTGAGCTGGCTCCTTCTTGTCAGTCTGATTTCAGCTCTACTTTCATTTCCTCAGAGAGCCCTTCCCTATTTTAATTAGCTGCGTAGTGTTTATTATTTTCTTTCTTTCCCATTGGATTGTGGGGCATCAAGGAAGGGTTTGCTTAGGAAGTGAAATTTCCGTGGAGCTTAAGAATGTGTCAGATTGCAGTTAGCGGTGAGGGGAGGAGTTGAGAGTAGTGGCATTCTAGGCAGAAAGAGGTAGAGGGAAGCAAAAATACGCAGAAGTGGCAAATACTCCACCCTGGAAATCAGGTACATGTAGAGAAATAGTAGCAATTGCTTACTTTCAGTTTTTAGGGTAAATATAGCCCGGTATTGTTTGCGGCATTTGTTTTAAATGTTTTGCTTCAAAGGATATTATAGAAAATTCATTGATTCCCCGCCCCCCCCCCCCCAGCAAATTGAATTGTTATACTTTGGTAGATTACTATGCTATTAAAACATGTATTCTACCACTTATACATAGTGGTGAAATCCATAATCTGAAAGCAAAAAGGTCATAGTTTATTTGAAAAGTAAATAAAATAAGTGCTGCAAATTCTTTTACTCTCTTCTTATTTGATAAATTATTTGCTGTATAGCTTAGAGCTATATTAAAAGTCTAACTTTGGTCTGTGACCTTCAGTTTGGTACCTAAAATCAAAAAGGTACTGCATGAAATAATGATTTTGCTATTTTGAAAAAAAAAAACAAACAAAAACCTAGACTGCACATGTGGCCTTTAGAAGCATGTGAGAAGAGTACTTATAAAAATCTTTATCCATTACTATGAAAAGGGATTTAAGAGTATAGGTTTGATTAATTTTTGTTAATGCTTATAAAAGGATGTTATATGTTGTCTGAAGCACTAATTTTTTTCAGAAAATGTTTATGCATGGACTCCCCACTTTGATTCCAGGCCTGTGCCCCACTGTATCACTGGAGGACTGAGGTGAAGCAGGAAAGAGAGCCTGTTGGAACATGCTTTCTTCAGGACGGAACAAAGACTGTTGAGTATGCTCCATGCAGATCAAGTATGTGTTGGAAGTTGTACTAGCTTTTACAGAGAGGATTGGGAAGCCTAGGCTGTTAAAAATATGTGTGTATGTGTGTGTTAAAATTTGTAGACATACTATGATGTGTTTTTTTTTTTTCATTTATTTTTATTAGTTGAAAGCTAATTACTTTACAGTATTGTAGTGGTTTTTGCCATACATTGACATGAATCAGCCATGGATTTACATGTTTGAGAGAGCAAAATGAAAGCAGCTTTATTAATGTAAAGAAATGTCAAATATACAGTTAACAGGCTTATCTTTTCTTCATAAGAACTCTTGTTTTCCTTTTCCTTGGTCAGTAACAATTAACATTTGATTTTGGAAGCCTGCATTTTTAGTCACTATTAGTCAAAAGGTGCTTCCTTGAACTTCTCTATCAGGCCCCACAGCTAACGATTCTGATTCAACATGTCTAGATCAGGCCTGGCTACCTGCGTTTTTAACAAACTCTATGAGGTAATTCTGATAGAAACCAAAGTTTGAGAACTTACAGCTTTATATTAATAATGGTGTTAAAAGTAAAAAAAAAAAATTATATCTTAAGAAGCCCGATTTTTATAGGAATATAGAACATTGGACTTAGGAGTCAGAGTCTGAATTTCCTTGCTTTAATCAGTCTCTTTGTCAGTCTGTTAACTAGACTCACTCCTCTTGATGATCTAAAAGATCTCACCCTGTTCTCTAATATTATTAGAAATCTCCAGTGAAATTTATATTGTGACTAAAGATGACTTTGAGCATTTATAATTTTAATTATGCTTTCCAAACTCTGTATGTTTTTTCCTTCTTGGAGAGTGCAGTGCTGTTGCTTCTCCACCATCATTGAGTTGGCCACCACCCCAGATCTTCATATCAGAAACATACAAATAGTTTATTGAAATGCAGTGTGGTGTTTATACCTGGAGCACTTTTTAGGCCTTTCCTCTTTCTGTTTCACTGGTCACTAGGTAGTGTAGTAGAGAGAATTAATAACAAAAGCATAGCATGTAAGATTCTTACTGCTAGCCTCTTTTTTTCCTTGTCAGGTGACTTCTGACAATAGGTCAAAGGATTAACTTAGTCTTCAAAATTCTAAGCAGTTGAACCTCTGAGAAATTGCAAATCATTTTACTCAATGCTTGTTTTCTTGGCCTACTGCCTTGGTCCTACTTTTGTGAGTGGGAGGTAAACATGAAAAGAATGATATGTATCCAGAATCACACTGTTTATTATGGGAGGGCAGGAGGCCTCCAGCATACACAGTGGAGGGAATGGGCAGCTTTATCCTCAGTTCCTGACACCATCTGTCACCACCTTTTGCTGGTGCTTTGGTCGTGGTATTGGTGTCTGGCGGTGTGTGGAAAATGTGAGGACTAAATTGGTGTTTTTAATTTTTGTATTGCAAAAATATTCCTATTATGAAAAGATAATTTTGTAGCTCTCAAGGATGAACTAACCATTGTGTGCCCTACTTGTAACTTACTGTTATGTGGTGGGCACACCTGCAAATCATTCTTATTCTCCTCTGATACATGTGGGAACCGAGACCTAGACAATTGAAGTCATAATTTTTTCCTGCATGTTATGGTACTGAGTGATCTAATGCGGATATAAACCCCGGCCCGTCTTATTCCAAAGGAGCCTTTCCCTGTATTATTAGCAGTAGGAAGTGGTTTCCATTTCAGTTGCCTTTGTACTAAGCACAGCTTTTCTATAGAGAGTACATTCTGCTTTCACAAGTGCAGGTTTGGATTAATTCCTGATGTAAGAGGACAAGAAACCTTCTGAAAACAAGCATTCTAATGATGATGGTCCCTTGAGGATATACTGCGATGTTTGCCTAGTATTTTTCGTCATTTTACCTCTTCGCTAATGACCAGTTCTTTTCTTAACATGTATTTAGAGGATTAAGGCTGTTTGCATGATGTAGCTGCTCCATAAGGTCTTCACTTATTTGGTTTAAGCACAGACATTTTAAACTTATTTTCCAAAGTAGTTAACATCCAAATCAGGTCAGCAAACTATGACTTGTGAGCCTGTTTTTGTAAATAAAGTTTGACTGGAACATAACCACACCCATTTGTTCACATGCTATTAATATCTGCAAAGGGAGGGTTGAATTCTTGCCACAGAGCCTGTCTAGCCCCTCAGCCTGAACATTTTTTACCTGGCCCTTTACCGATAGTGACACCTCACGTATTAGAAAAAGCAGAGAGAAAAACCTCAAAAAAAAATTCAAAGTGAATACCTTCTTCCTAGTAAGTCTGGCTTTCAGTATCTCTTGATCATTGTACGTATTTTTGGGCTCAACCTTTGAAATATTAAGCTACATGCAGGCCTAAAGTACACGGGGCAAACTGCCCAGAGGAACACACTCAAGAGTGGGAATCTGAGAACTTGGGTTGTATTTTTATCTGCTTATCTACAGTCATGCTTATCTATAGTCATGGGTAATTAATCATTGATAATACACTGATTTAGACAAAAGACTTCAGAGGCAAGTTTTGTGGTTTATGGCTTCTTCATATTTCAATAAATTATGTAACCTAACCCCGTGACTGATTTTACATGGGAATGCCAGTTGTGTAGGGCTACACTGCCAGCTTCTTGTTAACTGCTTGTTTTGGTGTGGTGGTAATTTGTGGGTTTTGTCGTTGTTGTTCATTTTGTTTGTTTATTCGCTTTCGTTTTTATTGTGACCTATGTGAATCTATGGAACTTTACTCTCTGTAAAAACTTATCTTATTACTGATTATGTTTGCTTTTGGCTTTTCATTGTTATATCTATGACCATTCTTGGGCATTGCACAAAAGGCTGAATGTCTTTGTTCTAAAAGTGCCTGAACCACAAATCATATGATTTAAATAGTCTTTCAACTTCATGCTCTGACTGAGTCTTTGTTCTTTCTGTCTACTTTCTGATGATAATATTATTTGCACATAGATTTTTCTCAGGTATCATTTCTAGTTTTCTTTTTCTTCCCCTTGGTGGTTGCTCGGGGAATTACAAATACACTGCTGGTTTGAGACACTGCAGCCGGATGGTATAGATACTCTTCACCTCAGATCCACTCTCTTTTATTTACTAGCAGGTTTACCATGGTTAAACTCCTTAATTTCTGTAAGCCTTAGCTTCTTTACATGTAAATTGTGACTAATTATAGTGTCTCTCACAGAATAGGGATACTGTTATTCTCATAGAATTTTGCTGTGTAAATTTGAAAAGAATTAAAGTGCTTTAGTACAGTACTGGACTCACAGTAAGGGCTTAATAAACATTAGCTGCTTTTACTATCATGATCAGTAACATTGTTTATAATACTGTCAGCCTTAACGATTAGGAAAAATATTAACTGTCCCTGCAAATAAAAACAAAAGCCTTCCCTGAAATAGATTATAGTCAACAGAAAATTCTTTACATTTGCATTGTTTAATATGTACCTGTTAAATTTTTAAAGGACACTAATGTTTTCTAGTTGGATGTTCTGGAAAACCAAATAAAGTAGATAACTGTACAGTAAGATAATAAAAAAAGGATGTCTTTATAAATAGCTTAAAAGAGTTCCCCAGATGCAACTCGAATAAAGGAAATAAAAGGCTGGCTTGAGGTCAGAGCAGAATTCCTTACTATGATTCACTAGACGCTGGAAACCCCAGACCTACATTTTCCCATTCCCTCTTGGTTAGAAAAATTTACATTGGGGGAGCGTTATACTCTTGAGGCTATTTTCTAAAAAAATTTCTAAATTTAGATATTAAGTGTGAATCTTAGGGCAGTTCCCAGGTTTTAAAAATGGGTTCAAAATTTTCGATGGGAGTATGTGACCAAAATTCTTGCAAGTTGTCCTTATGACTGAAAGTAGATACTTTTGGTTACTGTATTTGGGTGGCAAATACAGGAATATTATATCATAATTATTTAGATATTGTGGCATTGACTACAATAATTCCTTGATGACTAAAGAGTAGCTGTTTTTCATTGCTCTTATTATCCTCAAAATAAAACAAGGAAAAGACTTGCTCACTGTTCCTCTATTCTAGGTACAGTATTACTTGTGATTAGAGCTAATTTAAATTAGTTGGCTAATTGTCCCCTTTGTGAGAACTATAGGAAAAGGGGTAATTGTAAAAGAGTAAAACAGTTGAGTCTGTCATCATTTGGAAAATACTTAAAAGTGTCATGTTTTAAAAAGTTGGCTTTCTAAATGTGTTTTAAGGGTATATTTTGCTCTTTTTTGCAGAACATTCAACTAGGTCATCTCCCCAAATTCTGAACTATGTTTTTTTCAGATTTGTTGTTGTTGTTGGCTGTAAATGTATTGGAATGCAGGTATCTGCTTATTAGTCTTCATAATAACTTAGCAAAGACCTAGCAACTGTAGGGAAATAATAGTAAGAATTAGAAATTTCAGATTGGAGTTTTTAGCTCAAAGATCATGACTCATCATTGTTAAATGAAATCAAAGAATGGGTCATAACCAGTAATTTTTAAAAGATGGAATGAAATATGTGTGTATGTTGGGTTGTGTGAGCTATGATATAAGCTATAATCTTTCTGTAGTTGAAAATAAAGTTTGAAATTCACTATCTTAGGTGATCTTTCTGCCCCTTGCTGACTGGTCCAGTTACTTTCATCTCTCTGTGTTGCCATTTCTGATTAATGGGTGTTGATAAACATGCATACTAACTTTTTAAGAATGTGTTAATAACCCGTTAAGAGCCTGAATGAATGAACACTCTCAGAGACTAGCACATTATCTTACAGTTACAGTGATATCAGATTTTTCTCATGTTTTGTTTTGTGTTATATGTTTGTTTTTGGGTTTGTGTATATTTCCAATCTTTTTATTTTAGAAAATATTGATGCTGATGGACAGGGATTTTGTCAAGGAGGATTCAGCATTGATTTTACTAAAGTAAGTTCTCATTTAAGACTGAATGAGATTCAGATCTACCTTGTTATCTAAACCCATGGTTAAAAATTACTGAATAATACTTCATATTCTCTGTAACTATTACCTGTTTTATGGAAACATCTAATAAAAATTACCCATGCATTTGATATCCTTTGCCTGATACTGTTCTCTCCCAAGGAGACATTGCTTATTTGAAGTAGACATCAAAATGGGAATGGAAAGTGGTAGAAAATCTCCTTAACAGAAGATAGACAGCTATTATGACTTAATATTAAAATTTCCAGTTTTATAGATTTACAGACTGTTATATTAAAGCTTTCTGTTTTTGCCCGAAATTGAGTTTTCATAAAAGCTATCAATGGGAGCTTTTTACAAATCAGAGTTTAGTGACTTAAAAGTTGAAAAACATGCATGTTTGCCATCTATTATGTGCCTCTGGGCAATAAATAAAGATGAAGCAGTTTAATTACTGTAAGAAATCTCATATATAGGGCTTTATGTATTTTTAACTAAGCTGATATACTCTCTAGAGTTGATAATTTTTCATCATTTTTTAAAAAATAAGAAATCCATGTATATTTTCAAAGGAAATTTTTCTTTATATAATTTACTTTTGCTTTTGTGTGGTTTTTTGTGGGATATATGAACATTTTGAATAACAAATTGAGAAAATTAATTACTCCTAGAGGAGTCTCAAAAACACATTGCTCGATTAAAAGTAGAGCTTTCTTAGAAAACTTAATATGACTTAGAAAAATGCAAGCAAAAGTGCCTTAAATTTACTAAAAGCACAGAAACTATAATCATGGTTCAGAGAAACTAATAAAGCATTTTATTATTTTTGTAAATTTATATTTTTAATCTTAAATATTAGGTACTAATAATTTTAGTTAACTCTCCTTATCAAGCAGTTAATTTTAATTCACTCAATTTGAAATTCATAATTCAAAATTTATTCATAATTACTCATTATTTAAAATTTAAGGAAGCAGAACAGAGAGGTAAAGTATATTAACACATAAAAGGTTTCAACTTGGATGATGTATTTTCAAATAGATGTTATATTAAAACAAGAAGTGTCCATATTTTCTGTACTTACACCAGTACAACTATAACCCCAGAAATATTCCCATGCCATGAATAGTCATCGCTAAATTAACTGCTTTCTTCAACTCATTTCTGAAAAGTGGTGTCATTTTAAAGCAGACAACTTAGAATTAGCTTTTACATAGTCAAGGCAGGAGATGGTTGAAAGCTTCAAAGACTGTATGTGTATTTGGAGAAAGAAAGTTTTTCTCTTCTCTCCAGCGAGAAGAAATTTTAAAAATATGCTCAAAACACTAAATACCTTGAATTAGATATTTATAATTTGTTACAGATATAAGAAATGCTAGACAAGTGTAGTTTGTATACCTAGCATACTCTGAAAAATGTACCCTCAAACCTCACTCCTGTTTAGATCTACCTGACACTAAACATTTTGCTTTAGCTTGAAAAACATTTAATGATTTTTAGAAAGGAAATTTGTCAGTGTAGTCACAAATGTAATAAACAAAATTAAGGAGTGACTTTTTTTCTTACTGTAACTAATAATACTTTGCTTACAGTACTTCATACCAAGTGTGTGAAGCAGCCAAGATCTACAGAATCTGAATATATATATATACATATATATGTATATTTTAATATATTAAATGAATATATTATAGGCTTCCTTTTTGATATTTATTGTATTGTATTTTAGAAAAGGTACAGTGAAAATTATGGAGTCAGCTGGTTTTAAGATTTATGATCTTGTTTGCTTTAATGTATATGCATATATATGTCATATATACATGAATATGTAGCTTTTATGTTTATTACATTGTTCTCGGTTTTTGAAGCGATCTGTTTTAAAATATATATCTTTTTGTTTGATTTAATCTAGGCTGACAGAGTACTTCTTGGTGGTCCTGGTAGTTTTTACTGGCAAGGTAGGTTAATCTTTTAAAAATTACCCAATAATGACTATATTTCAGACTCATCTGGCTTATCATGTACCTTTGAGACTTTTCAAATTATTTAAAAGAAAAAAATGAAAAAATTAAATTTAAATGTATAACCACTGTCTATATATAATTTTTTTAAAAGGACTATAACATCATATATAATAAGGTATATGTAAAATATATAACATATGCATTTCTAGTAGAAAATAAACTAAATATTTTAAGAGTAAATTATAAAGTAAATTTATAAAGTAATTTAAAGTAATTAATTTTTATTGCTTATATACTTCATCTCTGTACTTTAGAGGAAATGATATAATTAATCATTAGGAAGAATGAAGGGCTGTAGGTAGAATATTGATGTGGTTATTTTCTCATTAATCACTGACATCAAGAATGATTTCTTTGTATTTGGGAAGTTGTAAAAATATAGGATCTTATTAAATAAGATCAAAAGAATATATTAAATTGGCATTGATGACTGAAGTAAAAATCTGCATTCTTTAGTCATTTCCAGAGGACTAATAGAATTACCATTTGAACAAATGTATAACAGATCATTATTTTCTTACAGTTTGAAAATTGGTAACTATATCTGCTTATTTGATTTATGTTTTGTTTATCATTAGAAACATAATTATTTATTTAGTCAATATATTCATATGTTTATTTTCTGCTAAAAAGTCAGTCAGTTCAGTCACTCAGTAGTGTCCGACTCTTTGCGACTCCATGGACTGCAGCAGACCAGGCCTCCCTGTCCATCACAAGCTCCCAGAGTTTACTCAAACTCATGCCCATTGAGTCGGTGATGCCATCCAACCATCTCATCCTCTGTCGTCCCCTTCTCCTCCTGCCCTCAATCTTTCCCAGCATCAGGGTCTTTTCCAATGAGTTGGCTCTTCGCATCAGGTGGCCAGAGTACTGGAGTTTCAGTTTCAGCATCAGTCCTTCCAGTGAACACCCAGGACTGATCTCCTTTAGGATGGACTGGTTGGATCTCCTTGCAGTCCAAGGGATTCTCAAGAGTCTGCTCCAACACCACAGTTCAAAAGCATCAATTTTTCGGCGTTCAGCTTTCTTCACAGTCCAACTCTCAACATCCACACATGACCACTGGAAAAACCATAGCCTTGACCAGATGGACCTTTGTTGGCAAAGTAATGTCTCTGCTTTTTAATATGCTGTCTAGGTTGGTCATAACTTTCCTTCCAAGTAGTAATCGTCTTTTAATTTCATGGCTGCAATCACCATCTGCAGTGATTTGGGAGCCCCAAAAAATAAAGTCTGGCACTGTTTCCACTGTTTCCGCATCTATTTGCCATGAAGTGATGGGACCGGATGCCATGATCTTAGTTTTCTGAATGTTGAGCTTTAAGCCAACTTTTTCACTCTCCTCTTTCACTTTCATCAAGAGGCTTTTTAGTTCCTCTTCACTCTCTGCCATAAGGGTGGTGTCATCTGCATATCTGAGGTTACTGATATTTTTCCTGGCAGTCTTGATTCCAGCTTGTGTTTCTTCCAGCCCAGTGTTTCTCATGATGTACTCTGCATAGAAGTTAAATAAGCAGGGTGACAATATACAGCCTTGACGTACTCCTTTTCCTATCTGGGACCAGTCTGTTATTCCATGTCTAGTTCTAACTTGCTTCCTGACCTGCATACAGGTTTCTCAAGAGGCAGGTCAGGTGGTCTTGTATGCCCATCTCTTTCAGAATTTTCCACAGTTTATTATGATCCACACAGACAAAGGCTTTGGCATAGTCAATAAAGCAGAAATAGATGTTTTTTCTGGAATTCTCTTGCTCTTTCGATGATCCAGCAAATGTTGACAATTTGATCTCTGGTTCCTCTGCCTTTTCTAAAACCAGCTTGAACATCTGGAAGTTCATGGTTCACGTGTTGCTGAAGCCTGGCTTGGAGAATTTTGACCATTACTTTACTAGCATGTGAGATGAGTGCAATTGTGCGGTAGTTTGAGCATTTGTTGGGATTGCCTTTCTTTGGGACTGCTAAAAAGTACCATTTACCAAATCAAGGCTTTTTTGTTTATTGGTATTCCGTTATTCAAGCATTGTCAACATTTGGAAGACCTGGAAAATCTCTGACTGTATTGATTTGCACGTACTTTCTGATTCTGAATTTTACTTCTATATTCTGCACTGTGCTTTCTTGTTTCCTTGTAGAAAAACCTGTGCTTTTGCTTTATAGAAAGGGAACTAAAGAAAGAGATTTGCTGAAGAAAAACAAGGTGGAAGGAAAATAAGGAATGAAAAGTGGGAATAAGTGAGAGATTGGAAGGGATGGCAAAGGAGAAAAAGAAAAATTGGGCAAAGGGGATCAGTATGAGACATATTAACTAAAACTGAAAAATATGAATTTCTGTGAATTATACCTCTATTGGAAGATGAAATGATGTAGGAAAATTATACTTGGGTTTTGTAGCCTTACAATAAAAATGAAAATAGCAGTTCTAATTGCATGTAAAATATGTAGAAAATATGTTTTAATGCTTTCTAGTTAGGTCTAAAACATGGATTTCTTTCCCTCTTTGCTGCTAGGTATATCATTCAGTAGACGAGAGGGAAGTGTCTCATGGGCATGTGTGGGAACCAAAGATGGATTTTGTGATTCTCTGTCAGGACTCTTTAACTCTGCCTTTTTAAGAGACACAATTGTGAGCTTACTTAAATTACTTGTTCTTTTAATACTTTGAGTATTGCACAATGCAGGCATTCCTGTTTATTATAAATTAGCACAGATACAGATACTATTGATTTATTATAAATGGTATATAATATGTTACTAAAAACTCAGTGACTGGGCAGAGAATATTTTGTTTTAACAAGATTAAAATCAGCATGTTTCACTGGGAATACATAAGATGTTAGGATGAATTTCCCATAGATCTCAGAATTGTCTCTGTAAGAATAGAGAAAATGATAATGATGTTTTATTCCAAAGACATGGTAAATTTTCCTGTGTTCTTTGATTCAAGAACTATTTAAGGAATCCCTCATATGTGTTTGATACCATTTAGGCATGGGTGTTCCCATGTGGGAATTCCCCAGTGGGATTCCCAGTGGCTCAAGCAGTAAAGAATCCGCCTGCATTGCAGGAGATGCAGGAGATGTGGGTTTGGTTCCTGGGTTGAGAATATTCCCTGGAGAAGGAAATGGCAACCCATTCCAGTGTTCTTGCCTGGAAAACCCCATGGACAGAGGGGTCTGGTGGGCTACAGTCCATGGGGTTGCAAAGATTCAAGACATGACTAAGCACATACACATGCAGGCAAAGGTAATAAATTAGTGACCCAGACAGAAAGTGTTCTTCCCTACAAACTCAGCTTATGTGACTGGAAAAATCAGAGCTAGATTGATATCTTTAGCTGTTACAATTTTCTTTCTGAAATAGCGGAAATGAAGAGATTGTTTTCCATATGTTACGGAGAAGGTGTTTGATAAATCAAACAGCCTTTCTTGGGGGCAGGGAGGCAGTCTGATTTTTATGTAGGTGTCTGGTTTTCTCATGTACTTGATAACTTAAGGTTGTGAAGAAAATGCAGTCACTCTTTCAGGCTGCTTCATAAAGGTGTCCAAATAGCTCATTAAGAAAAGACAGTTTAACCAATTATTATGAAAGTAAAAATAATTTCAGTAGATTTTTCTAGTTCTAATTTGAAATTTGGTTGGAAACAATCCTTGATTTTATGATTCCATTTATTTAACATTGACTTTTTAGTGAGTTAAATTCTGCATTTATAAATTTTTGCTTTTTAGCAGAGACTAACTTGTTAAGTACTAGCCTTGAATAGAAATAATTGTGACTTAAAAATAATCAAATTTCAGATTTAGGATCATGAGGAGTTATTTAAGACTAATAAGCAGAAAGATTTATATCTAATCTATTTTATTTCATGAAGGTACTATCCATCATCTGCATCATAAAGTTCTGCTAGAAAATTGTCATTTATTTTATATATTGTTTTCAGGGCAGCTCATTTTAAATTATAATTTATTTTATGTATTTCTTTCAGGTCAACTCATTTCCGATCAAGTAGCAGAAATTGTATCTAAATATGACCCCAAAGTTTACAGCATCAAGTATAATAACCAGTTAGCAACTCGGACTGCACAAGCTATTTTTGATGACAGTTATTTGGGTAGGTAAAATCGAAATATGGATTCACTTTCTGGTGTTGCAGTAGATTTGTCCTATATTTGCATATGATGCTTTCAGTAGAAAAATCTTTTATGTGAAATAGATTAAGATTTTCTTAAAATATAAGGAACATATAATTTCAAATTGTTATTACAAATACCTAGATTATGTTGTATTTCAGTAGCTGAAATTTAAGAGCATGATTATTTACACAGTGATAATAATAATGGATAGTCTTTAAGATGTGCTTACTGCATTCTGGATGTTGTTCTAAGAGCTTTACCTGTAGTAACTCATTTAATCCTCACAAGTCTGTGACAGTGTACTGTTATTACTCCCATTTTATAGATAAAGATACTGAGGCACAGACAGGCAAAATAAAGTCTTAAGTCTTTGCCTAAAGTCCTTCACTTATAACTTTGCTTTTCTCAGATTCCAATCCAGGCAGTCTGATTCTTGAACTTCTATTCACTATGTTAAACTACGGTTTTGGTTTAGGATTTATTAACTTTTGTTCTAAGTTTCTCTTATTCATTAAACCAAGTATACATGACAGAAATAGTATTTTGCTGATTGAGAAAATCTGTTGTTTGTTACTCTGTAATTTACGGCGAATTGCAAATTTGCCCTGTTTTTAACTGACTCCTTTGTAAAGTTGATAAAACAGTTTTATATTTCTAACAAAGATATACTATTCGAGTATTTAGCACCATTATTTTCTTCAAGATTCATTTATCATACACATGTGAACCCATTTCTCCTAGAGGACAAAATATTACATAATTAAAGGAATTAGTTAAAGGTATTTTCCAGGAAAGCTTAGTCTGCAAATAAGTTGAAGATAATCAGTTCTGCCCTGATGGTGTTTTATATTTGTTCCTCTTTAGGTTACTCAGTGGCTGTCGGAGATTTCAACGGTGATGGCATAGATGGTACGATGTGCTTGAACTAGATTTAATTCTCTTTAAAAAATTTAGACTAAGCATTTGAAACATGTGGCACTGAAAAATGTCAGCAATTAAAGAGTTTTGAAGCTGAGCTTGGTCCGTGGTAAACTTCTTTTAACCAGCCAAGGGAGCTAAGAGCTTCAGCGACCTCTGTCTGCTCTCACTTCCAGCTGTTTCTTCAGCGCTTTCCTTCTTACGTTCGGTGGATTCAGTTCTCTTGGGGAGGCACAGTTTAATAGTTTCTACTTTGTCTGGACACATCATCTGTGACTTTCTGAGCTCTGCCTATAGCCCATCTTCTCTTTGTCCGTCTTCAGAGCTCAGTCTTGGGAGCCTAGACTTGGCCTGATTTGATTACGTTTCTGTACCATTGCAGCCTCAGCCCTGTTTCACTTGGCTCTGGATTATTTTTTATTACTGTGTGTACAGTTTTTCTTCATCCTTAAGCCCTTTTCTCTTGTCTGCTCTCTTTCACAAGATTATAAATACCCTGAGGGCACACATACATTTATTTGAAGTCTTCAAGAATCTTTCCATATTTTGTAAAGCTTTCATTTCGTGGTTAAAAAACGCTTGGGTCATTTATTATGGAGCCCCAAGTTTTTAAAGATCTCATACTTAGTGTCTGCTGAAATAGCAAAACTTAAAGCTGTCTGACATAGCCGCTTACTGTTGGAGTTGCCAGTATTGGTCTTAAAAATAAGTAATTTTTTTCTTTTCAGACTTCGTTTCAGGAGTTCCAAGAGCAGCAAGGACTTTGGGAATGGTAGGAAACTTAAAAGATGTTTTCTAAAAAAATCTCTGGGTTATTTCGTATTTTACTCTATTTCATATGCTTTTGTTTTTCTTGCACAGGTTTATATTTATGATGGGAAAAACATGTCCTCCTTACACAATTTTACTGGTGAACAGGTATGCTTTTGAAGTTTTGTGGATTTTTTTTTCACTTAATATTTTGACACCAACACTTCCTACTATCTTTAACAACTTTTCTTGGTAATATTCTGATGGTTTAATATTTGATATATAGTAACTATTGGTTTAATAGTGGATATTATAGATATAAAATAGGCTTTAAATATTTCACCTTTGTTTTAACCAGAATAATTTATTTAAGCAAAGCCTTTTGTAATTGCTGTAATAGCTTTTTAAAAAAGGAAATACAAAATCCAATTGAACATATCCAAAACTAAAAAATTTCCTTTTTATTTGCTAATAGCATTAAATTCTCTTTTAAAGAATGATCTATGCTTTTTTTTAAAAAGAATGATCTATCTAAAGAATGACCTTTTAACTTTATTAGATGTAAAACAAAGCATGGCCAAGATGTGTTTACTATAGATATTACAAGTAAATTTCATTTGTACTACATGAAATACAACATTCTTCAGTTACTAATTAGTACTATTAAGTACTAGACATTCTCTATAATTATAGGCATTTTACAATATTCTGTATTATCATATGTCTCAAAGAATGAAATGGAAATTTAGTATAGGTGTACCATGTTTTCCTGCATTTCATTATTAATACATTTCATAGATTCTGGTTGTTTTTTTTACAAATTGAAAGTTTGTGGCAACCCTGAGTTGTCAGATGATGGATAGTATTTTTTAGTGATAAAGTATTTTAAAATGAAGATACATACATTGTTTTCTTAGACATAATGATATTGCACACTCATAGACTAAAGTATAAATGTTATATGTACGGGAAACCAGAAAATTTGTGTGACTCAGATTTTCTGGGCTGTTCAATTTGTTGCGGTGATGTGGTCTGGAACTGAACTTGCAGTGTCTCCGAGGTGTACCTGTAATGATAAAGGAAAACTTAATCAGTGGTAGAAAAAAGCATCTCCTAGTTTGCACATCTAGGATTTAAGCCCACTTCTTGTTCAGCTGAGATTGTTTGGCTTTGCAAGAGGATTGAGAGGATGGGAAACTAGACTCGAGGTCCCCAGTAGCGTCCCGTTTGTGTGGCCGTCAGGGTTGACATGTGCAGTTGTCAGCTGTTTGGGCTGTGGCAGGGGTGGCGGTCCCTTTGTGCTGTCGTGTTTTGTCCTCAAGCAGCTTCTCCGTCGGATGCCCATGTGTGTCTCTGGGTCTTGTACTCGTCCTTGATGCCTTCTCTTTGTCCTCAGCTCTTCTGTGGAGGAAAGCGGGGTTTGCATTAGGACTGACCTGGGCTCTCACCACTCAGTCTTACTGCATTGGATACGGTGTTTACCATTGTCAATCTGATGGCTTATGTATAAAAGCAGGGATCCTGGTAGCTTCCTTATGGGGATGTGGTGAAAATCCAAGGGAAACACTTCAGTGATAATAACACAGCACAAGACTTTTCTCAGTCAATGACATCCTTTCTTTGCAGTTTCAGGCCCAGTACCCTGAGAGACCAAGATCCAAGAGTAGTATTCTGTTAAATTCCAGCCAGCACTTTATTACACATGTTCTGACCTTGTGATTCAACACAGACTTTGTCTTTCATTTTCTCAGTTACACTGTGTAAATTCAAAATAGATTAACCTGGGAATCTCCCATATCATTCCCTCCTGATAGCTCAGCTAATCAAATTTTGGAAGATTTACTAACTTTACTTTTTTTGGTTTGTTGACTCATCCTTCACTGTAGTTCATCTTTAATCTGTCCCCACTCCTAGTTTTGTTTTGTATGTTGGAATCTCTTTAGAACTTTCCTTTTTCACATGTATTTCCAGCCAGACTGCTCTGTCTGTGATGGCCAGCAGTCTCCTGTGGTGAGGAGAGGACATTCCTTTTCTGCAAAACAAGCCCATGATAAACCCAAGCACATTTGTACTATGTGCAATTTAAAAGCAAAACCACTGGCACGTAATTGATTGAGATGTGAAACAAAAAGGAACTTCATTCTGTATCTTTTCAAACAGTAATTTCTTTAGAGTTGTAGTGGTTTCACATAGGAAGAACCATTTATGACCTACTAAAAATTAGTATTTATTATTTTTACTGCATTGGCATCATTTGTAACTTCTTGTGTTCAGTTGAAATGTCTTTTCTGTCTTTCTGGTAGTATGTCTGGTGTCTTTGGATAAGTAGAGAGGACAGGAGATAGGAGGTGGGGCCTCAGGAGGAGCCTTGGTTGTACTTGGACTTGTAAATGGCGTGTGCTGAAGACCCTGAAATGTCTTGCAAGACACGTTGCTGTCTTGCCAGTAAATCTAGGAAAGTATACAAGCCTCATTAACTGACGGTCATTGTTTGGGTAGAATAAACAAAAGAAGAAACTTAGATTGAAGCACTATATGCAGAGAAAAAAGTAATCCTTTCTATTTGGTAAATACACAACAAATATTAATTTTCTAAATTAGTTGGATGAAATGTAAACTTTTCATTTTCATCTCATTATCCAGATGGCTGCATATTTTGGATTTTCTGTCGCTGCTACTGACATTAATGGGGATGAGTAAGTTTTAAAAAATGTTTCCAGAAACAGTTTTCTTCTCATGTTTATGAATGCTTTACTAAAACTAAACATTTTTCCTTCTGTTTGTCTCCTTCCCACTAATCCTCCTGTTTAAGGAACCAATTTGATGCAACCTTAATCACAAATAATGGAAAACCTTTATGTTGTTAATAATTCCTTTCACTAGCTTTTATAGTATGAAGGAATAAAATAATCTTATGAATTACTCATAGTTTCTTAAAAGAACTGAAGGAAGGTTTGGATGAGAAATGGTCATTTCAAATGTGGCCTTAAGAGATGTAGAAAGAGGAAAACCTGAGTTTCAACTAAGAAAGAACATGATTATGAATAGTCACATGGAATTTGATCTTGCTCTTCATGAAAACAATTCTGTTCTTTCAGTTACGCAGATGTGTTTATCGGCGCACCTCTCTTCATGGATCGTGGTTCTGATGGCAAGCTCCAGGAGGTGGGGCAGGTCTCGGTATCTCTGCAGAAAGCTTCGGGAGACTTCCAGACCATCAAGCTGAATGGTTTTGAGGTCTTTGCAAGGTTCGGCAGTGCCATAGCCCCTTTGGGAGATCTAGACCAAGATGGCTTCAACGGTAAGGAGTGTAAAGAGCCAAAGGTCCTTGACTTTCTGTGGCCACCTGAAAAAGTCCTATACCCTATTTATAGAAGCTCACACGAGCAAACTTCCTTCCTGGAAGGAAGGATTTGGTAACACTAGGTTCAATGACAGGTTGTTCATTTCCCTTAAAAATCAGAGGGGAATTTTCCAAAGTTGACTCTCACGGGTTATTATACGTGCAGCTCAAATTAGAGCGTCAGAGTGGTTAATTTGAAAGGCACCTGCATTCCCAGGGAGCCCAGTGTGAGCTGGTGATTTTTTGTCTCTGTGTCCTGCTTAGCGGCAGTGCCCTCTGCTGTCCGTTCGGATGCAAGTGTAAAAAATGCCCCCAGGCCTCTTGTCAAGGCAGTGCTGACCCCAATGCCTCCTTCAAAGGTTTGATTTGATACTAATATTTTTAAAGCCATAATTTTGTTGTGGCTATCCAGAATATTCTGAGGGAGGTTGTATCTCCCTTCGCAGGGACAGATAAAAAGGTATATGTTTACTTTTATAACAGTCCCATTTAATAATTTAAATAATAGCTGTAGGTACCTTTAAAAATCAAAATTGGCTTGTGCTATAGAGTGAAATGTAAATTACAAATTACCAAGACTTTTTAAAAAAGGAATGATACTAACAATCTCCCTAGAGTTCACAAAATGGAGTTGAACTATGGGTTTGTTTGTATAATCAGCAGTACATAGGGATATCCCCCCGAAAATGACAAGAAAGTTGTAAATTAAGATGAAAACCTCAAAAAGACAGATGACTCTCAAATCTCCCAGTTAGTAGTAGGAAAGGAAAATGTTTGTTTGGCCTCAAGACCATTCTTGCCACGTGGGTAGTGTTATGTCACGCGCTGAAAGTGTCATCTCTCACCCTAGAAGTTTTCATTGTTAGTGGAAAAACTTCTCAAGGGGACATTTTGCTTCCTAAAATAGTCTTAAAGGTTATTTTTTTACCACCAGGAGAACATAAATGGAATTCTAGTATAAAATTCAATATAGAACTTGAGAAGAATACTACAGAACAGATCAAATCATTACTTTTTGGTAACAAAAACAACCTAGAAAAGAGGGCCATATCCGAAGTTCTACCTTGAGTACATTTAACAGGTTCTTTGCTGTGGATGGCCTGTCTCCAGGCATTTTGGGAAAGCCTGGACATGTTTACCTTCACCTTGTTTTGAGGATATTCCAGCCACTTTAAAGAATGTTTCTTTAATATCATAATCCAGATAGCATCTCATCCTGCTTTCCCTATTCCTATTAAAATGTACTGTGAACACAAAAATTATAAGCAGTTATAGCTAAAAAATATCAAAGTTTTATAACAGTTTTACAAAGAGGTTTTACTTTTAGAACTAGATACCATTGCAGATGATTTTTTTTTTTTTTGCTCCCAAAGTGTCTCCTGAGGTCTTATTGTCCCATGTAGCCTGTAGGTGTATGTTTGTATTAGTTACAACCTGGATCTTTTCCTTATTCAGACCTGATGACATTGACCCTTTTTTATGTCTTTGCTCCTATTTTCCTCCCTTTCCACTTAACACCCACTGGGAAAACCCTAGGTATGATCAAGAGGGATACTGAAAACAAAATGATAAAATTATGTTCCACAGTTACATGGAGTTTTTGTCAATACTTCTCCAGAAAGGCAGAGTAGGAAAAGCATAGAAAAAGAAACTAAAATGATCAATAGGAATAGGAATAGATTGATTACATGAAAAAGGAGGGCTCTCCAGACTAGACAGATACCAGCCAAGAGAAGATATGACTAGAATATACAAAATAACAAAAGGTTTAGGAAAGGTAAGGAGAATTTTTTAAAACCATCTCTCAACAGTAGAGCCATCTTCTGTTGGAAAATTGTATTTAAAAAAAAACTTTCTTAGTGCACGTGTCAATTTAGAAGTTATATTTATCTTTTAAAACTTAAAGACGGATTGAGAAGAACTCTTACGTAATTTAAATACTACTTTTTATTTAAGGATAACAAATTCTTAGTTGGTGCTTACTGCAGACTAAGCACTGTTCTAAGTGCTAAAAATGAGAGGATGAATTAGAGCCCGACCATGTTCTTAAGGAATTTAGCATCAGTAGGAGCAAGTTTAATGTGAACAAGTAAACACTAGAAAGTAGTCATCACAGTTTCTGAGATATTCCTGGGTATAACCGTCTTAAAAAATGAGTGATGAGGTTTCTTTGATGTCTCGGGATGTTACATTGAAGGGGGTGAAGCCACTTTAGGTATATTAAGAAAATTGAGGCAGTTTGAAATGGCTGGTCTTTAGGTGCTGTTCTAAACAAGAACACATCTTTGTTCTTAGGAAATTTATGTTTTGTAGAGGAGCAATAGAGTAAACACATAAAGGGGAAATTCAGGTAGTGATAAAGGCTGTGGGTTTAGACAAACAAAAGGCAAGGTGATGTGGTAGAGTGCCTAGATAGAAGAAGGAGAGGGTGTTACTCCACAGAAGGGCCAGGGAGGAGCTCTCTGACGATTTGGACAAACAGTAGGAGCAAAGCTTGAAAAGCTCTGGAGCAAGAGCCTATAAGGCAGAGGGCACAGCAAGTATAAATCCAGAGATGCGGGCTAACCTGGTGAGTTTAAGAATCAGAAAAGGCAAGGATTGGTATGAAGATTTGGGGTTGGCTTAGAGGTGGGGTGATGAATGGACAAACTAGGTGGCATTTGAATGCTTTGGGAAATAATTGAAGGATTTTTAAGAAGGAAGGTGACATGATATTAACATTTGGCAGTCTTGAGGAGAATGGATTATAGGGGCAAGAGTAGAAGTGGGAGGCACTTAGACTCCTTTAGGGGTCCAGGCAAAGGATGACAATGGCTTGTCCAGCGTGGGGCCAGCAAAGATAGAGGGAAGTGGACATAGTATTCATAATATATCTGGAGTTAGGAAAGGTTATAGTGACCATTTGGTTGTTTTTTTTCTTTTTAAGAATTTCAGACTTTTTAAAAATTTCGGTATAAATTGATTAAGATAGAGATGAAATCATAGTGTTCAAGTCTCTGAACCAGATTGACTTCTCAAAAAAACAAAACAAAAAAACCCCCCCAAAACCATGCCCAATTAAATTTAACTAGAATTTTGAGAGCTAGAATGAACCTTAGATGAATATTTTGACATGTCCCCTCCTCTGTGTTTTAAGGATGAGTCATTTGAGGTCAAGAATGGTTAAGTGATTTGTCCAAGGTCAGACCCAGAATATATGGCTCCGAGTTAATGTCATTTCCATACTGTTTGCTTGAATCTCCTTGAATTTGGTTTTTGCTTTTGAGTTAAGAGTACACTACTGAACTTTGAATCGATGTTTATCATGGTATCAATACATGGATTCTAAAGATGTTAGGATCTTCTCCACAGAAATAATGATGAGCACTATGACTTATTTTCTCCATCTGTTCCCTCCTCCGTCCCACTCTCATTTCTTCACCTTCCCCCCACCCCTTTCCCCCCTCCTTACTCTCCCTCTCTTCCTTTTCCCCCTCAGATATTGCAATTGCTGCTCCATATGGGGGTGAAGATAAAAAGGGAATTGTTTATATTTTCAATGGAAGACCCACAGGCTTGAATGCAGTACCATCTCAGATCCTGGAAGGGAAGTGGGCAGCTCGGAGCATGCCACCAAGCTTCGGCTATTCCATGAAAGGAGCCACGGATATAGACAAGAATGGATATCCAGGTGCTTCTTAGAAATAAATAGAGCATCTTAGATTTTTCAGTCCTAACAGCCAGTAATATTAGGTTGGTGCAAATGTAATTGCCGTTTCAGACTGTGGACTTTAAATCATTATAACTAGGCTCAAACACATCTTTGTTGATCAAAATAGGAAACATTACAATAAACAAATTTTTGCCAGTGAGAAATAAGTTTGTTTGGTCCTGTAGTGTAAAAATCTGTGCTTCAGGATTTGACGAACTTCTCAGAAAGCATTTTCTGCCTCCTGCTGGTTGTGGAAGCATTTTCACTGCATTAAGTAGTCAAGATGCTTGAAGAAGTAGTAATCAGTTGGTGAGAGGTCGGGTGAACATGGAAGATGAGGGAACACTTGTAGCCCAGTTTGTTCAACTTTAGAAGCATTGATTGTGCAACATACAGTCAGGGGTTGCTATGAAGAAGAATTCGGCCCTTTCTGTTGAGCAATGCCTGCTGCAAGTGATGTAGTTCTCCATGTATCTCATCGATTTGCTGAGCATACTTCTCAGATGTAATGGTTTCACTGGGATTTAGAAAGCTATAGTGGATCAGACCAGCAGCAGACCACCAAATAGTGACCATGACCTTTTTTGGTGCAAATTTGGCTTTGGAAAGTGATTTGGAGTTTCTTCTTAGTCTTAACCACTGAGCTGGTCGTCACCATTTTTGTATAAAATCCACTTTTCATCACAGGTCACAGTATGATTGAGAAATGGTTCATTGTTGTTGCATAGAATAAGAAAAGATGACACTTCAAAAGGACTATTATTTTGATTTTCTGTCAGCACACGAGGCACCTACATATCTAGCTTTTTCACCTTTCCAGATTGTTTCAAATGCCAGACAAGTATAGAATGGTCAGTGTTGAGTTTTTCAACTTCTTGTGTGGTTGTAAGAGGATCAACTTTGATGATCCTTTCAGTTGGTTGTTGTCAACTTCTGATGGCCGGCCACTATGCTTCTTATCTTCAAGGCTCTCATCTCATTTGCAAAACTTCTTGAACTACCAGTGGCCTGTATGTTCATCAGCAGTTCCTTGGCCAAATGCGTTGTTGATGTTGTGAGTTGTCTCCGTCGCTGTCTCTGACCCACTTTGAACTTGAATAAGAAAGTCACTCAATTTTGCTTTTTGTCTAACATCATTTCCATAGTCTAAAATAAATATAAAATATACAGCAAGTATTAAGTCATTAGCAAAAAAAATGTAAAGTGAGAAATGCACATTGAAATGATGTATATCATAACCCCGTTTAAGGATGTATTCCAATATCAAATGGCAAAGGTCAGCATTGTAAAACCACAATTACTTTTGCACCAACCTAGTATTAATTACTGCTGTCTTGATTTTATGTTATAAATCAGTTTAATTCAGTATTTCAACTGCTGTTCAAGCCCCTGCCATTGTTCACGGCACGGTTGTCATAACTGAGGGGATACAAAGCGCAGATAGCTCTGTTTCCGGTCATGTTTTCTTTTGGGGCATAAAAAAGTTCCTAATTTTTTGTGATCCACTGTATCTGTCTTTATGGTTTCTCATGTACTTTTCTGCTTAGAAAGAGCTTTGTCAAATTAAGCTTGTGTAAGCCTATTGGGCTATAGTCCATGGGACCACAAAGTCAGATACAACTGAAGTGACTTAGCACACACGCACGCATATACTGTGAGATACAGTTCTGATTTCATTTTTCCTGATTGTGAACCAGTGGTGATAGCTACGTGTGAAGACTAATGCATTCTGTTCTTGGATTTGGATGCTATCTACTGTCATTCTAAGGATTCTAGGTACAGTTGATCCTTGGACAGTGTATTAAGGGTGCTGACCCTCTGCACAGTCAAAAGTTCATATATAACTAACTACAGTCGACCTCTGTATCAACAGTTCTGGTTGTGAACCAACCTCAGGTTGTGTAGTGCTATAGCACTTTCTGTGGGGAAAAAAAAAATCCATATATAGGTAGATTTGCGCAATTCAAACCCAGGTTGTTCAAGAGTCAACTGTGTTTGTATTTTGGTTTTATTTTGTTTCAAAAACAGAAAAAAAAATTTTTTTTTGTTTCAAAACACAAAATTCAAAATTTTTTTTTGTTTCAAAAAATAGAAATTTAAAAGTCCACAGGCAACTGTATCCCTATGGCTGATTCATGTTGATGTATGGCAGAAACCACCACAATATTATAAGTTATCCTTCAATTAAAAAGAAAGAAATTTAAAAAACTGAATTAAAAAAAGCCATAGGCATCTATAAAGCGTTTACCTTCGGGAATGTATGTTTGGGTGATATATTCTTCCTCATTGGTGTTGATTTTTACTCAGTATCCATTCAGAAGATTCTTATCTATCTGGATGGATGAAAAAATTAGTGTTATGAAAGTGTTTGTCATTGATAATACTGTAAAGTTTTCATATAAATTTTAGCCTTTTAGATGTTGTCTTAAAATCACTGATGAAGAACTTTGAGTCTATGTCTAAATCTAATCTTTATTATGTACATGGAGGGCTTTATAGAATCGTATGTGTATTTTAAAAAACTATTATTATTAACATAGTTTTTCTATTCTCTTTTAAGACTTAATTGTAGGAGCTTTTGGTGTAGATAGAGCTGTATTATACAGGTAAGACTTTCCGTATCTGATAATACAGAAGTATTATGAATTATATGAAAGTTTTATAGTTAAGTACCAGTGCTTAAATTTCATTTTAATTTTCTTGAAGTAATGATAAAATTTGTTCTTTCTATTCAAGATTCACTTCAGGCAAGGAGTAGTGATACAAGGAGATCCCCAGAATAGAGAAAGCAGTAAATTTTTTTTTTTTTTTAGAAAAGCATTCAGAATTTTCCATCTTTGTTCTTTAAATTTGTTCAGAGGTGTTCTCCTATGTTTTAGATTTTGTGAATTTAAAAGTATGAGGTACATTTAAAAGTATAAAAGTTACATTTTCCTCTAAGAGACAAGAAATTAACTTGGTATTTGTGCCACAGTATTCTGAGACCACCGGGGAAGTATGTAATGACTCACAAAATAAATGTTTTTATCAGAGTAGTATGTGTAAATCTACATATCTCTAGTTCCCAGCTTCATACATATTTCCCGTAATTCTCTGTGTTTCATCAGTTCCCATTGCTTTACAGTATCATCTGGTATCGCAAGTAGATTAGGATGTTTACACTCCTAGGGACTGTGCTTATAGATGGCAGGAAAACTAACCCTCTTGTGTAGTGTAGGTCAACTTGATTGTGCCTCTCACAGCAGCTTGTGGCCGTACAGATTCTAGGATTTGTCATGATTGGAACAAGCACACTGACCTGAGCCTACTATATTTTTTTACAGAGCATAAACATGTACATCTAACTTTGGAAAACCATATTTATTTTAATTTATTGTTTAGTTTTAAAAATTGTTATTAACAAAGTAATACAGGCATGTGGTAAAATTTCAAGCAATATAAAAAGGGCATACAATAAAAAAATACATACTTCCTCTCACACCAGTTACTAGTTCGTTAGTATCCTACCAGAAACATTCTGTGCATTACAAAATTGTGTGTGTGTATGTGTGCGTGCATCCTTTTTACATGTTTTTTTTTTTTTTCCCTGTCATACTAAAATTCTCTCCTGGTTAATCTCATCTCATATTAGTGCAGATGGCTTTACAGCACTCATCTCCCTCTTGTATTGCAGCTGCGTTAGGTAGCTATCCCCCGACCTGTTTAACCATCCTGCTTTAATGGGCTGTGTTCAGATAGGTTGTGACCAGTGGTCCTGCTTTGCCTGGAATTGAGGGGGCTTTACCAGGTCTTGGAACTTTCACTGATAAAATCAAGACAGTCTGGGGGCAAACTGGGATATTTGGTCTTTCTAAGTTTAGATTGTTTCTATTCTTTTTGCTATTACAAACACTGCTTTAGTGAACATTGCTCTGTATACACCATGAATGGTGAACCTAAAGTACTTAGATCAATGTAACATTTTAAATAACTTTTTTTCTTTTTTTTAAAACCAGGGCCAGACCAGTTATCACTGTAAATGCTGGCCTTGAAGTGTACCCTAGCATTTTAAATCAAGAAAATAAAACCTGCTCTCTGCCTGGGACAGATCTCAAAGTTTCCTGGTAAGGGTGTTTGTTTGATAATAGTTATTATTATAATTATTGGTTCAGTCATTATAAAATTAATTGAAAATGGGGGAGTGGGCTGAAATATTACTCAGTTTCTATTTTCTTGTCATAGATTGAATTTAGAAATATTGTTCCAAAGAGGGTACATATAAGCCTCTAGAAATATTCTATAAACTAGTATAAAACTAATTTTTGAAAAATGAATATATCAAAAATAAAAAAGTCAGTGAACATTTTGATTTTGATTTTTAAAAACTAATGATGTTTTTCAGATTTAATATCTATGACTAATTGTATGAAAATAATTATTTTGCTTGAAGGAATTGGTTTTCTGTTTGTTCTTTTACTAATTTCTGAAGAAAAATGTAACAAGCTTAATGTCTGAAATTCTTCTCTATTTCTCAAGTTTCCATTTTTTATTACTTTTCACTGTATCATGTGATTATTTTTTGCTATTTTTTATTCTATTTGTATTTATAATTTTCTTAAGTTTTTTTCTTTAAACTGACTCATGTTTTACTTTAAAACACATTAAAATAAAATAGAGAAACCAGTCTTTCTCATACATGTCAACATAAATATAAAATTAATAATGAAAAGTCCTGATCCATAAAAACTGACTGTAAGTACCCAACTTTGGGAAATAATGTTCATGCTGCTTACTTACACAGAAAAATTAAAGAGAACTTATATATGAAGGGTAGAATGATTGGAAGCTGGGAAAATTTTACTTCAAATGATCTAATGGAAAGATATTTTTCCTGATTTTGTTTTTGAAGTATTTATTGTTATTAAAATCATTTTTTAAAATTTTGTTTATAATATATATATTAAATAAACATGTATACAATAAAAATTTTATTTCTTTCATCAGAGTGCATTAAAAGTTGAATAATATTTGGTCTTCATTTTCATTGATTGGCAGTGACATTTTCAAGATTTTTGCTTATTCTGGTAACAATGTGAAGGCTTTGAATACATTAACTAGAGCGGTAGCTTTCATATGTTCTTGATTATAGGGTGAAACACATTTTACATCATAATCCAGTAAACATAGGTTTTTAAAACTTAAGTTTCATGAAATCTTATCCTTGACACTTAAGTCAATTTTATACATATATTTGTTTTTTTTTAAGATGCTGGCCACAACCCAGTAAACTGATGTCATGACCCAGTAATAAACTGTGAAAAATACTGTTCTAGAGGAGCTTACTAATTAAAGGGAGCTTTGTGGGACTTTTAAATAAGTGAGATATTTATTTTAAATCTGGACTGTCATTTTCCTCATTTAGATTTATTGAAGAGATTCTATAAACTTGAGAGGAAGTTAGGAATTTTTTTTTCTTTTTTGTCTCATTAAAGTATTATGAAAGGAAATATGCCTAAGTTACTGAAGAATGAGTTAGAATATTCTGTATAGTTTTAATATATAAAAATAATATTAAGATGTATAATCTATTAAAAATAATATTAAGATGTAAAGGAAGATACAAGGCTTCACAGTGTAAACTAAGTATTAGAAATGTGAGATTTAAAAAAGAAAAATTTGTGAGATTTGGGTGATATTAAAATAATGTTTAAATTGGATTATGGGATTTGTGTGTGTGTTTTATTTTTTTACAGTTTTAACGTCAGGTTCTGCTTAAAGGCAGATGGCAAAGGAGCACTTCCTAGGAAACTTGGTAAGTGTTCTATCGAAAAATTATATATAATGGTGCTGCATATGCAGCACTTAATGCTTTAGGATATTTGAATAACTATTCAGATAGTTGTTATTTTTTTAAATTTGAATGTTATGTTAAAGACATTTAAAATTGCAACATAATTATTTTGTTTGGCAGCTCTTAAGCCAGTTCAGAGATAATACATTTATTTATTGGCATTCTGAAAAATTAGTGATAAATACGGCCTTGAGAAAGTTAAAGTTACCAATGTGAGACAAATGAACTTCAGGAAAAATGAATATCATTGTTTATAAAAGTCAGTTACCTACTGAGAAGTTTATATTTTATGTGTTGGAGAAACCCTGGTAATTTCAGGAGTAGAGGTGATTTAGAAAGAGAGAGAAGGAGAAAAAGTTTTGACCACTAAATTTAACCCGCACAGAAAATACTAACTTCACTCTTTTTTTCCAAAGAATTGTTTATGTGATTCTGAATGCAAGGTAGGAGAGTTCAGTAACTGTTGTGGAGATTTGTTGGTGTTTATGCTAAGAAATTGAAGCTCTTAATAGAGGACTGAGTCTGTTGGGAGGTGTGTTTGTGTCTGAAGTTCACATAGGGTGGCAAGGAAGGTAATTTTTCAGTAAAGACCTGAAGGAAATGAAGGAACTAAGGGATACCTGGACAAGTATTTTGCAGAGGAATTGGCAGTTTCAAGAGGCTAGAGGCAGGCGTTTGCTGTCTCTCAAAGAGTGGATGGAACAGAACTGGGAGCAGAATAATCCTGGGTTTTCACTCAGATTTGTTACGGAGTTCAGCATTTAGAGGAACTTGAAAGGAGACTTGTGGTTTTAAAGATCTGCATTCTTATCTCCTTTGAAGAAACTGTTTAAGAAGAACTGAATCTTAAAAGCTAGTAATCTAGCAACTGTGCTTGTTTCTTGGCTGTGCTTGATTCTTCCATGGGAACATTTTTTTAAGATGATTCCTGACCTAGTCAGCTTTGTTTGGTCATTTGCTTCATGAGAGACATATTTACCTGATAGTTTGATAGGGTAGCTTCATTAGAAGTATGAGTTGCAATTGATACAAACTGCTCATTCATCATGGTAGTGAATGTATGGATACATATTAGTAAACGTTTCTTACTCACAATCAGCAAGAGTGCTGCTACCTGCATTTGTGGTGGGAGTCTTAATTATTCACATATTTCATTTCTGAACTTCCTCCTCTCAGCTTAAGTTAAAAGAAAAAAAAGATTCCCTTCTCTCTGCTAGTTTTATCATTATCTAATGTCTGAATTATTAGATGACATTAAGTTGAGAATGGTTGGATTAATTAATTATGAAATATTTATTCAGAATTAATATGTTGTGGTCTCACTAGAATGTATAAACTTTTTAAGAATGAATTAGAGGCAAGTTACTTCTTAAGAAGTGTCTGTGTATCTCTCTTTACATGAAAACTTGAGATATTTAGAACAGGTAGGTGTCCATAAAGATTATGTTGGTTATAAATCCTTTGGTTTGTATAGACTTCCAGGTGGAGCTTCTTTTGGATAAACTCAAGCAGAAAGGAGCAATTCGACGAGCACTCTTTCTCCATAACAGGTCCCCGGGTCACTCCAAGAACATGACCATCTCAAGGGGGGGACAGATGCAGTGTGAGGAGCTGATTGCATATCTGCGGGTAAGGCATACTTTTATGTTCTTTATCTTTCTATGTGTTATTTTTTCATCTGAATGATTTTTCCTTTCTGTAAAATTTTTTTGGTGGTGAATAAATAAGAAAACAGAAAAATGCAGTTGAGGAAATTGGGCTTTTTAAAGAGTCAGACTTGAGTAACGGACATCTTCTCTTGTCAGACTGGATATCACACGTGGTCTTAATAAATTATGACAAACGTATTACTGGACTCTCGAGACTGTAAAAGAAATCCACCTCTCCCCAGTTAATCAATTAAAAAACTTCATTGGGAAAAAAAAAAAAAAAGGCCATTGGCTAAACCCGACTTGTGAGTTGTAAGCAAGTGTGAGTCAGGGTAGCTAGAGAGGGAGTGCTGGAACCTGGGCAGAGGGGGCAGAGGGGGAGCAATACTTGCCGACACCAGTATGGGGGTTCAGACTCACCTGGGGCCTGCTGCAAGCCAGGGGGCTGACCTCAACCTCCTGTATTAGGTCTAGATTTTTCCACAGGGCTAAAGTGTTCCCAAAACAAAGATGACCCTGACTCTTGCAAGAGTAAATGCAAGCTTTCACTGGAACAGTCTAGTACAGGTCCCACAGGTTAAGTTCAGATCAAATAGGAATTCATTTCTAAAGTACTAAAGAAACAAAAAGTAGACCATTAGAAGACACAGCAAACAAATCTTAGTCCTGGAAAAGTGAAGCGAAAGTCTCTCAGTCGTGTCTGACTCTTTGCGATCCCATGGAAAGGCTTGAGATTTAGAATTATCAGTTAGAAAGTATAAATGTGTATAAAATATTAAAAGAAATAAAGGGTGAAATTTGATTTAAAAGACAAAAGTATCAGTAAACATACAGAAGACTCAACATAATTAATAAACTCTATTTAGTAAACCTATATAGAACGTGGCATCCAACATTTAGAGAAGATAAAAGTTCCCCATATACATATAGGAAGTCTGAACAAATTTGAGAAAATTGAAATCATAGAATATATGCTATTTGATTATAGTGCAGTTTTTAGAAATCAGTAACAAATTTAAATTGAGAATTAGTAATTGTGAATTTAAGCAACTTATGGATTAAAAAAAAAGATCATACTGGAAATTTACTTAGAAGTGAATTATAATGAAACTATCAAAATATCAAAATGTGTAGGATATCCTAAAAGCATAATATAAAGGTAAATGTATATAGCCTTAAATGCTATTTAATTTAAATGAAAGCTTGAGGGAAAAAATGAAGGGAAAATAAACCCAAGAAACCTCCACAAAATTAAAAATGAAAAAAGGACATTCCTGGTGACTCAGCAGTAAAGAATCTGCCTGGAGTTCGGGAGACCCCGGGTTCGATCCCTGGGTTGGGAAGATGCCCAGGAGAAGAGAATGGCTCCCCACTCCAGTATTTTGCCTGGGAAATCCCATGGACAGAGGAGTCTGGAGGGGTACAGTCTGTGGGGTCTCAAAGAGTCAGACACAACTGAAGCAACTTCGCTCGCAGGCACATAGTTAACGGAGGAATTAAGGTAATAGAATATTATGAACAACCTGTACCAAGAAAACAAAAACATTCTTAGAAAAACATAGCACGACTGTTACTTGAAGAAATAGAAAACCCAAACAATCCACTTAACCATATAAATCATTCTGAAAATTGAACTGGCAGTTTAAAAGTCTTTACACAAACAGATCACAAGACCTAAATAATTTTATAGGCAATATCGTCTAAGCTGTCAGGAATGAGACATTCCAATATTAAGCTCTTAGAAAGAATAGAAAAAACAAGATGTATTTACAGCTTATTCTCTGAAGCTAGTGTAATTGATACCTAGACTGGCCAAGGATAGCATAAACAAGAAAAATTCATGAGTCTTACACAAAGATACAGATGTAGAATTACTAACCAAATATAAGCAAACTCAATCCAAGCTGTTTATAAAGAATATTAAAAAACAGATCATCAGCTTGCATGTATCCTAGAGCGGGTTTATATTAAAAATATAGAAGTGTAACTTCACACATGAATAGGCTGAAAACATGACCATCTTACTTGAAGTGCAAGAAAGGTTTTTGATTAAATAACTGTTCATGGTATTTGCAAACAAATACCTCAAGCTTCAACTATGAAGAATTACTGTTTTACACTCAAAGTCTACCAGCACTTATTGCTTGTTCCAGATGAGAATTAATGGGAATTCTTACGTGTTGCTGATGCCAGTGTAAATGTTGTGAAGATTTTGGAAAATAATATGGTATTATCATAGAGAACTGACAAATCTCCTTTCCACTGTGTAGAACGATACTTTTTTTTTTTGTAATACAAAAATAAACCAAAAACCTAAAGAAATCCAAAAAAGAATTATTAAACTGTGGATTTATTTACAAGTATTACTCAACATGGGCTTCCCTGATAGCTCAGTTGGTAAAGAATCTGCCTGCAGTGCAGGAGACCCTGGTTCAATTCCTGGGTCGGGAAGATCCCCTGGGGAAGGGATGGGCTACCCACTCCAGTATTCTTGGGCTTCCCTTGTGGCTCAGCTGGTAAAGAGTCCTCCTGCAATGTGGGAGATCTGGGTTCCATCCCTGGATTGGGGAGATCCCCTGAGAAGGGAAAGACTACCCACTCCAGTTACTCAACAATAAAAATTAACCTTGCTACATGCAACAATGTGAATGAATCTTCTAAAAAAGTGTTGAAGCAAATAACAGAAGAAAGGTATGGTCTCATTTTAAAATAAACAGGAAAAGCAATCTGAAGAACATGCTGTTTTAGAGACATATACAACTAGAGTAAAACTACTGTGAGCAAGCTAATGGAATGATTCCCTCTGGAAGGCAGACAAAGGGATGAAAAGAGCATGTAGGTAGCCTAAGCAATGTAGGTAATGTCCTAGGTATTATTTATATTGGGTGTGTGTTGGAGTGCCCATTTTATTAACAGGTCTCATATATTTTTGTGTGAATCAAATATTACATTACAAACAAAGTTGGTTACGGATTCTCAGTGGATAATGGTAGTCTTCTTTATGGATATCCTATTCTTAAGTAAGTGTAGTATTACAGGGAGTTTTGGTAGAATTGGATCGAGGGGTGCGTACAGCTGGCTTTGTATTGTGTGCTTACGGATTTCTACAGATAGCTTGATGTCTTACTTAGGTTGATGTTGTAATTAATTCAAAGCTTTTGCATTTTTAGGACGAATCTGAATTTAGAGACAAACTCACTCCAATTACTATTTTTATGGAGTATTGGTTGGATTATCGAACAGCTGCTGATGCAACAGGGTTGCAACCTATTCTTAACCAATTTACTCCGGCCAATGTTAGTCGACAGGTACTGTGCTTTATTAATTTATCCTTTAGTCTTTAAAAAAAAATCTTATAATTCGTATTTTAAAATAGCATAAAGGATTGCTTTTATTTTATATTTTTAATATTTTTGCATTAGAGTATAGCAGATTAACAATAATAAGATAGTTTCAGGTGGACAGCAAAGGGACTCAGGCGTACAAGGATTGCTTCTATAATGTTGCGTTTTTAGTCAGAAGTCAGAGGGGAAGAGACATTCAAAGCCACTCAACTTACCTGCAGAGGAAGACAAGGTCACATTTTGAATATATAAAACAATAAAATAATTCAAGGAAAACAACAAAATGCCAAGTAATACATAGTATTTTAGTATTTTGCTAAACAAGTTTATGTTATCTTTGATTTATATTTTAAAAACTAGTGTATATACACACATATGCATATATAGTATGTAAATCATTCTTTTGATACAATCAAATATAGCAACAGAATTTTATAAGGAATATATTTTATATATGTTAGCTATATTTTATAGTTTTAATTTTATAATTTATTTTACATAACTATCTTATATTTCATTTTGCATGTAAATAGTATAGGTGCTGCTTTCCACTACTCATTAGTATAGAACTTACATTGTTCTTAGTTCATATTTTTTACAATTTATATTTTTAGGGGATGCACAGTCTTATGTTGATTAATTTAATAATGAACATATGAGCCTCTTATAGTCTATTGTTCAGTTTTACAGTTTTTTAAAAAGTTAATTGTTACTTTTATATTATGCATTTTGATATAGGAGTTATGATTATTTTCTGTTTATAATTCTGGAATTTTTTGGAAACTATTTATTAGTGTTAACATTAGTTTACTGGAATCACCAGTCTCTTTAATACCAATATAATTTAAAGGCAGCTTATAAATTGGTTAACTTTGGAAACTGCTTTGAGGGAAAGAATAACTTTAATATTTGACTTTCTTCCCTTTCTCCACCTCCCCTTCTTCATCGTTTGAATCTGTTTCCTTTGTGTTCTACTTTTGTTCCGGCAAGGACATTACCTACTCTTAGGCATTTCTTTCTGTATTCTTAGTTTTATTATGTATTCTCATTTCTGTAATTACCTACCCCAACATGCTTATTTACTTCTCTCTAAAATGGCCCTTTATTTCCCTGGTCATATTACTCACTTTTTAAATTACTGTACACTCTCTTTAACGTACTGCCTTCTAATAGAAATATAATGTGGGACACATTCGTAGTTTAAATTTACTGATCAGTAACATTAAAAAATGGAAAACTGGTGACTGTAATTTTAATAATATATCTGTATTAGTTTGCTAGGACTGCTATTGCAAAGTACCACAGAATGGGTGGTGAAATAATAGAAATTTATTTTCTCAAAATTCTGGAGGCTTAAAGTCGGAGATCAAAGTGTGAGCAGTACTGGTTTCCTCTGGAGCTTTTCCCACTGGAGCTTTCCCCACTGGCTTGTAGTGGTCACTTTCTCCCTGTGTCTTTATGTGGCCTCCCCTCTGTGTCTGCGTTCTAATCTCCTTATAAAGCACCAGTCATATTGGATTAGGGGCTTCCCTCATAGCTCAGTCAATAAAGAATCTGCTTGCAACATAGGAGACTGGGGTTCAATTCCTGGGTCAGGAAGATCCCGTGGAGAAGGCAATGGCAACCCACTCCAGTATTGTTACCTGGAAAATCCCATGGACAGAGGAGCCTGGCAGGCTACAGTCCATGTGGCTGCAAGAGTTAGACATGACTTAGCGACTTCACCAGCACCACCACCATATTGGATTAGGGCCCACCCTAACGATGTCATTTTAACTTAATTACCTCTTTAAAAACCATGTTTCCAAATAGTCACGTTTTTCTATGAAATTCTTTATATTGTTTTTTACTGTCTTCAAAATCCAGAGTGTATTATACTATAGCACATCTCAATTCAGATGCTAAAGCTTCGTCAGAAATATTTTGTCTTCATTTAGAAGTTATACTAAAAGTTTTCTAGTGGCAGAATCAAGTATCAGTTTTTAAATTTAAGTTAATTAATATTAAATGAAATGTAAACCCCCCCCCACCCCGCCCCAGTCATACTAGGTACATTTCAAGTGCTCGAAAGCCACGTGCAGCTTGCTGTGGCTTCTCTATTGGACATAGCAGCTCTTGAGTTTTCCTTTTTGTACCGTTATCCTTTGGAGTTACAGACTTAGTGCTTTCTGCACTAAAAGTGGCTTTTTAACCCAACCTCGGCACCCCCCCCAACTGCCCTCTGGTTGTTCATTCAAATGTGTATTAAGTTCTTACTCTATGTAAGATACTAAGGATATAACTGTAGAGATTTAGTTCTCTGTGAATGCAAAATAGTGCTTTTTTTCCGTTTCTGAAGCTGTTCTTTCCTGATATGTATTTTAATGCTGTAGTTGCACCAATGCCAGCTTAATCCTTTTTCTTCAGTGTAGAGTGGTAGTTAGTCAAATATCCCTTTATCATAGTTTATTAATATTTCATAATACTTCTCATTTCAAACTTCAGATACTCATCATTCTAGCTGGGACTTTTAATACACAGCATATCACATATCATTAAATCCACCCTTAGTTCATGAACTAAGTTAGTAGTTGATTGTCTTTCGTGTGACTTGTGCAGTTACCTCAAAGTTCTTCTAATGATCCTGGCCTTTTCCCCCCAACTTCTTGAGGCACATAGCAGCTGTTAACATCTAGGTCAATGAATTAGTTAACATGTATTGTTGGGTTTCATCCCAATTACATTGTCAGTTAAGATCTCTATCATATTATTTTATTCTGGGAAGCCATATATCTTTGTAACTTGAAAGCATACAGTTTTGTTGTTGTTTTCAAGAAAGCCTGTCACTATTTTTCCCCTTTAAATCTTTTTCTTTTCTGTTTGCCTTAGGACCCTAAGCCCTTTGGATATTAACAGTAGATAAACCAAGAATGGCTTAATAATTTTTTCTTTCCTCTTTTATTAATTTTTGTTTCTTATTTCACATCCTGCCCAACTTCTTCTTCTGCTTCCTCCACTATGTCTTTCTGCTGGGTTTTCCATAATGTTCCAGCTGACACGTCATATGGTCCTATCTAGAGGGAGAAAGTGTTGAGGTGTTTGCTTATTGTACCTGTCTTGGATCTGCTAACTTAATGCTTCTGGTTCCTTTTTCTTTCTCTCTTTCCAGATGGCCATGACAATGTGGAACTCCTTTCATCCAGTTTCTGTTCCATTTGGTCTGTCTGTCTGAATTGTTGCTATGTATCCACAGCTCCTTATTCTTTTACTCCTTATTCTGTGCTCTCAAGAGGCATAGTCTATAATGAGAAATTCTGTAAAGGAGCTTTTTTGGCCCAAGATCACGCAACTTTGCAGAGGCAGACTAAAGCCGAACTCTAATTTCAATATTACTTTCAATTCTACACTTCATTCCAAAGTCATAATAGGTTAATTTGAGATAGACCTAAAAGGTTCCAATTAGTTGTATTATACCCTATAAATCTTTCCCTTCCTTTTCATTCTTACTAGCTAACGCTGACCTGTTTAAAAACAGGGAGCCATGATCGCTTTTGCACTCAGGTATATATATAAGTTGAGTGTATATAAATACATACATGTATATTCATATACATCCATATATATATTAATATACACTGTGTGTGTGACCTGTATTGGTATTTATTCATGTAGAAAAAAATAAAAACCTTTTTTCTAGGCTCATATTCTACTTGACTGTGGTGATGACAATGTCTGTAAACCCAAACTGGAGGTTTCTGTAGATAGGTAAGTTTTGCTCCAAATAATAGACTGTATAATAAGAAATTGAAATGAAAGAGCACATTTTTCTATTAAAGTAATAGCAGTGAGAATTAGTTATGTTGGAGGATAATGCATGATTTTCAGCAAAGGAGTGAATGTTGAGCTTTAGAAAAATAGGCTGTGTGTTTCACCAGCTGCCTAGGTTAACAGATCCCTTTTCATCAGTATGGAGTAGTGTCACAAAGGAGCGTTGTATTCTCTTAAAGATTGTCTCTTAACTAAAGGACGTATTACCATTTTATATAATGTATAAATTACAGCAAATATTTTAAGTATCATGACCAGGGGATTAGTTCAACTTTTAGAAAAAATCAAGAAATTAATAAGTACAAAGGGATATAAAATTATTTTCATAAAAGATTTGAGTGATAGTGATATGACAAAGGCATCAGTGTTTTCTTTTATTGGGAGAAACGTTGAATTTGCACCCAGTTGCTATTTCCAGTTCAGTGTTGATCTGTGCAGTAGTCTCAAAATATCCTGAGACGTTGTTGAACATGTCAGTGCTTTGAACAGTCATGCCCTTGCTACGCAGTCCTTTTTCATTGACTAGATTTATATTAACTTGTAGTGATCAAAAGAAGATCTATATCGGGGACGACAACCCTCTGACCTTGATTGTTAAGGCTCAGAATCAGGGAGAAGGTGCCTATGAAGCCGAGCTCATCGTTTCCATCCCACTGCAGGCTGATTTCATCGGGGTTGTCCGCAACAGTGAAGTAAGCAAGCTGCCTCTTTAAAAATCGAAATGCACTCATGGTTCATATTAACATTAATGAGCAGCTACCCTATTTATTATACTACAGCTTAGCTCTTCTACCTAAGGCTAAATTGCTAGACAATAGAGTGCTTGTCTCACATAATTCTTTTCAAGCCTAGTACTTTGCATAATGCATTGATATGACTTTTATAAAAATTGCTAGCTAAGTGCCTGACACAAGGTCAGATGGATAGTGTCTAAGCCTGGCCATCAAATGATTTGTCAGAAATAATATGGTTATGTGTCTAAGTCCTCTAGGGATCGTCCAGAAACACTTTTGCATTTATATGTGGCAACTGAACACAGTTCTGGTTCCCCCATATCTCTCATTACTCAAGTAGATCTGTTTGCTTGGTAAAGCAAGAAACCCAAACATCCAACTGTATGATATTGTCTAGAAACTTTACAGTTTGTATGGCTTCTGCTTTTTTTTTTTTAGTGACTAATTTATTTTCCCTTCAATCCTCTTTCTTTGTCTATCAAAGGCCTTAGCAAGACTTTCCTGTGCGTTTAAGACAGAAAACCAAACCCGCCAGGTGGTTTGTGATCTTGGAAACCCAATGAAGGCTGGAACTCAAGTAAGACATTTTAATTAAATGGGTCTCTTTTTCTCTTTCATCGAGATTAGCATATTTTTTGTGGGTTTGTCCACAGTCGTTTGTCTGATAATTTTGTATTTATGTTTTGATTATGGTGGGTCTCTGCTGCTGCACGCGGGCCCTCTCCAGTGCTGGTGAGCAGAGGCCACGCCTTGTTGTGGTGCTCGGACTTCTCGCTGCGGTGGCTTCTCCTGTCGCGGAACGTGGGCTCCAGTAGCTGCAGCATGTGGGAGAAGTAGTTGTGGCTCGTGGGCTCTAGGGCATGGGCGCAGCAGTTGTGGTGCATAGGTCTAGCTGCTCTGTAGCATATGGCATCTTCCGGGACCTGGGATTGAACCGGTATCCCCTGCATTGCAAGGCAGATTCTCAACCACTGGACCACCAGGGAAGTCCCATAGTAATTTTTTTTTTAATAGAAACTTTTTTTTAATAAAAACTTCAAAATAGTATATACACAATGGAATATTACTCAGCCTCTAAAAAGAATGCATTTGAATCAGTTCTAATGAGGTGGATGAAACTGGAGCCTATTATACAGAGTGAAATAAGCCAGAAAGAAAAACACCAATACAGTATACTAATGCATATATATGGAATTTAGAAAGATAGTAATGATAACCCTATATGCGAGACAGCAAAAGAGACACAGATGTATAGAACAGTCTTTTGGACTCTGTGGGAGAGGGCGAGGGCGGGATGACCTGGGAGAGTGGCATTGAAACATGTATATTAACGTATGTGAAGCAGATCGCTGGTCCAGGTTCGATGCGTGAGACCGGGTGCTCAGGGCTTGGTGCTCTGGGATGACTCTGAGGGATGGGATGGGGAAGGAGGTGGGAGGGGGGTTGAGGATGGGGAACACATGTACACCCATGGTGGATTCATGTCAATGTATGGCAAAACCACTACAGTATTGTGAGATAATTAGCCTCCAATTAAAATGAATACATTTATTTAAAAAAATAGTATTTCAGTTGGTTTTGATTTAGAATGTAATGATTATTAGAGCTTAGTTTTGATTAAGATACTAAAGTAGTGAGTTGTGCTATTACCTGTATTCAGTAAGCTGCTCTTTGCCTTCAGTTTGGTGAATGGACAAGAACATGTTTAAACTAAGGACTGAGATTGTAACTTGGATATTTTAAACTGATGCTTTAATGCATCCTCAAAGCTACTCTGACAAATACCGAGACTGTTCTTCTTCGGTGAGTTAGAGTGATCTCATTAACTGGGGCTTCTCTGGTGGCTCAGACTATAAAGAATCTGCCTGCAATGCAGGTAGGCCCAAGTCCTATCCCTGGGCTGAGAAGATACCCTGGAAAAGGGAATGGCTCCCCACTCCAGTATTCTTGCCTGGAGAATTCCATGGACAGAGGAGCCTGGCGAGCTACAGTCTGTAGGGTTGCAAAGAGTCAGACACAACTGAATGACTAACACTTTGACTTCACACTTTATGAACGTGAAACCTGTGAGGTCATCCCAGTAGGATCGAATTGCACATTGGTTGGATCAGACTTCTCTTTAGGTGGTGGAGAAGGGAGCCCAGATGCTTGAGAAGAAGCACTCAGTGGATTGCTTCCCAAATCTTCTAAAAAAGGAGACAGTCATGTCAATGTATGGCAAAACCCACTACAATATTGTAAAGTAATTAGCCTCCAACTAATAAAAATAAATGAAAAAAATAAAAAAGGAGACAAAATATACCTTTTTGAATTGCTAGTATCAAGGGGAAAAAAAGCAGCAGTATATTTCTTGTTACCTTTTCAATAGGATTTAATTTATTAATAATAACACATAGATATTGGTAATTTGAAGATCTGTGGTCATTGTTATTCAGACGCTCAGTCGTATCTGACTCTTTGCTACCCCATGGACTGCAGGACCCCGGGCTTCCCTGTCCTTCGCTATCTCCTGGAGTTTACTGAAACTCATGTCCATTGAGTCAATGATGCCATGCAACCATTTCGTCCTCTATCGTCCCCTTTTCCTCCTGCCTTCAGTCTTTCCCAGCATCAGGGTCTTTTCCAATGAGTTGGCCCTTCACCTCAGGTGGCCAAAGTATTGGAGCTTCAGCTTCAGCATCAGTCCCTCCAATGAATATTCAGGGTTGATTTCCTTTAGGATGGACTGGTTTGGTCTCCTTCCCTGTCCAAGGGACTCTGGAGTTTTTCCAGCACCACAGTTCAAAAGTAGCAATTTTTAGGTGCTTGGCCGCCTTCATGGTCCAACTCTCGCATCTGAACATGACTCCTGGAAAAACTATAGCTTTGACAATAGGGACCTTTGTTGGCAAAGTGACATCTCTGCTTTTTTAACATGCTGTCTAGGTTTGTCATAGCTTTCCTTCCAAGAAGCAAGTGTCTTAATTTCATTGTTGCAGTCATTGTCTGAATTGATTTTGGCACCCAAGGAAATAAATAAAGTCTGTTACTGTTTCCATTTTTTTCTCATCTATTTGCCATGAAGTGTTGGGACTGGATGCCATTTTCTTTGTTCTTTGAATATTGGGTTTTCAGCCAGCTTTTTCACTCTCCTCTTTCACCTTCATCAATAGCTTTTAAATTCCTCTTTGCTTTCTGCCATTAGGGTGGTGTCATCTGCATATCTGAGGTTATTGATATTTCTCCGGGCAATCTTGATTCCAACTTGAGCTTCATCCAGCCTGGCATTATCTGTGATAATCTGGGACTACATATTCCATATCTACCCTTATAAACAGTGTCCTATCAGATGTTATTTAAGGGTACAGACTTTCAATGACTAGTAAATAAGTCCTAGAGATCTAGTGTGCAGTGTAATGATTATAGACAAGAGTATGGTGTCAAACTTGTGAGAGATTAGATCTTGATTATTCCAACCACAAGAAAAGAAGTTATAATTTTGCAATGTGACAGAGTTACAGTTATTGCTGCAATGGTAATCATGTAATGTATGAAATCAACATGTTGTCTACCTTAACTTTACACAGTGTTGGGTGTCAAATATTAATATATTTCAATAAAAAATAAATATTCCATATTTCTTTACATATATTTTTCCCTTAAAAGTCATAATTATTTCTAGATGTATGGTCTCTTGGGGAAGAGCACTTGAACAGAGTCCTCAAAGTTATATTTTTCACTTGTATTTATTGCAGTGTTTTATTAAGAAGTGAACATGCCTTTTATTTTCCCATACAGTCATTCTCTCTTTTTTACTCACTGTTGATTCAGGAAACATCATTCCCGGTTAATTCTTATGGCCAGCTCCAGGCTTTGTGAAGTGAGAGGTAACCACAGAAGGGCCATTTTTAGATGTCTTTTAGATGACTTCCAAGAAGCCTGCTTTCTCTAACTTTGTAGCTGTTTTCTTTAAAATAACAGTTTTCTGCCTGCAGAAGTTAAGATGTTTGTTATTGATGGACTTGTGGGTGGTGTAGGGAAATTCTGCTTCTGGCCCTACTTCTCTCCTTTTTAGTCAGGCTCTCTCAGTCTTGTAAACCATCTATTTCTTCCTGTTCCGTTAACACAAGTTCAGGTATTAGCTTCCTGTCACTAAATCTTGTGCATAACTACTCTACTTTCATTGGATCAGTGGTTCCTCTTGCATTTTTGAGAAAGTTAATATTAGTTGACATTATAAGGAGATAATTAGTTAATATTATAAGGAGATATGATTAATCATTGTTGTTAAACAGGCTTCCTTATGGATTGGCCTGAGTATCTTAATTAATAGGGATTTGATAGAAGATCAAACTTAGTTAGGGCTTCCCTGGTGGCTCACTGGTAAAGAATCTGCCTGTAATGCAGAAGACGCAGACACGGGTTCGATCCCTGGGTCAAGAAGATCCTATGGAGACGGGCATGGCAACTCACTCCAGTGTTCTTGCCTGGAGAATTCCACAGACATAGGACCCTGGCATGCTGCAGCGCATGGGGTCGCAAAGGGTCGGACATGACTGGAGTGTGTCAGCAGCAGCAGCAGCCGCAGGCTTAGTTATTTTTGCTAGAGTACTTTCAGTTTTATTTTAGGTTCAGAAATAACCTGTTTTAGACCATTCTTTTTTCTTTGGACATTGGATTTGAAATTGCACATGTTTGACATGTTTCTCACTAACATTGACCTTCTTTTCCCCGTCTAGCTCTTAGCTGGGCTTCGTTTCAGTGTCCACCAGCAATCAGAGATGGATACGTCTGTGAAATTTGATTTACAAATTCAAAGGTGTGAAAACAACTTTTTCTGTTTATAATAACTTTTGAGGAAATAGTATTTGTTATGAATATGTTTTGCAGTATACTTAAGTATTTATGGAATAGGATAGACTAAAATTTTAGTACTTAGTTATCAAGTTTTAAGGCCAATATTTACATGCTAAGAATAATTTTATTATTTTTGAGTTTTAAGGCAAAAATAAAAGTTAAATAAAAATCATCTTTTTAGAATTAAATGCTAATGAAAATAATTATTTTGTGCAGTTTGTCATTTCTTTATTGCTTTTCATTTGTTCACTTTTAGTTTCACTGCATTTGCCTCTGTATGATTTTGATTATAATTATGCTCATCAAATTCAGCCCTAAATTTATTTTTTTTCTTTTTCAGCTCCAATCTTTTTGATAAAGTAAGCCCGGTTGTATCTTACAAAGTTGACCTTGCTGTTTTAGCTGCTGTTGAGATAAGAGGGTCAGTATGATTACCCAGTTGAGTATCTTATTCTCATGATTTAAACTACTTTAAAAAAATTTATTTAGTTTTTAATTGAAGGGTAATTATGTTACAGAATTTTATGGTTTTCTGCCAAATAGCAACATGAATCAGCCATAGGTATAGATATGTCCAGGGCTCCCCTGGTGGCTCAGAGGATAAAGAATCCGTCTGCAATAAGGGAGACCTGGGTTTGATCCCTCGATCGGGAAGATCCCCTGGAAGAGGACATGGCAACCTACGCTAGTGTTCTTGCCTGGAGAATCCCATGGACAGAGGAGCCTGGCAGGCTGCAGTGGGTCACAGATAGTCAGACACGACTGAGCGACTAAGTACAGCACATAACATATGTCCAAGTCTTAGGCCCCCTAACTTCTTTTGTATAGTGTATGTTCCATGTTTCATGGTGATTTTACTAGAACTATAGTTTCTGTAGAAATAAGAAGGCTCTGGGTGTATTCCAAAGCCCCAAATATTTATTTGATAATTCTCTGGTAATAAAGCAGACATGGCAAAAGCAGCATAAAATAAATTTGTTTAACTTTATGCAGAAATGTTCGCCTGTTACCAATTCATTTGTTACACTGGATTCAATAAAGAAGAGTTTGTATGTCCAGCTGTGCCATGTACACATACAAGTATAATTTTTTTTGTCTTTGGTGTTTTTTTTAAATTCTGATTTTATTCATTTGGATACTAGGTACTTTTGAAAATGATATCATTTTGATATTCATGGTAGGTTTTCTTTGATCATTGTTTAGAGTCTCAAGTCCTGATCATATCTTTCTTCCGATTCCAAATTGGAAGTACAAAGAGAACCCTGAGACTGAAGAAGATGTTGGGCCAGTTGTTCAGCACATCTATGAGGTTTGCAGTTGGATTTAATTGATACCTGGTAGAGAGACAACAGAGAAACGAACAGATAGGCTGCTTTTAAAAAACAAGTCCAAAAAACAAAAAGAAAACAAATCTATGTAACTTTTATGTAAACTCTGAATAGTTTAATTTTGTGCTAGAGATTTCTTAGAATTTTTTTCCCATTCTTAAGCTCATTTCCATTAGACAAGTAACTTCAAGTGGTAAAAGAAAGCTGTTTATACAAACTGTTGTTTAAACCTGATTAGTTGTACTGGGATAAAAGGGTTAGGTCGTTGAGTAAAATTTTGATTCTGTAGGAAGGAAATTTTCTATGCCACTTATCAGTAACTTTTTCATGTGTTCCTCTTTTGTTTAGATTTTTATCCTGACACATACTGCCCTACTCGGAGGCATATATTGAGTTTGATTCTTTTGCATACTAATGATCATGATATAATATTAGAGGCACTATGGAAACTCTGCTGTTATTCAAATGCTGTTGTTTCAGGATTCCTAAAGATGATGTAGAGGAAGGATTATAGAATTTTGCCCTAAGTATTTACATTTTCTTTTCCTCATTAGCTGAGAAACAATGGTCCGAGTTCATTCAGCAAGGCAATGCTACATCTTCAGTGGCCTTACAAATATAACAATAACACTTTGTTGTACATCCTTCAATATGATATTGATGGGCCAATGAACTGCACTTCAGATATGGAGATTAACCCTTTGAGAATTAAGGTAATATGCTTCATAGCAACTGTTCATTATGCTGATGTTTTATTGTTTTTCTTTCTAAATCTATAAAAGAAATGCATAAAATAAAGCAATTGTTTTAGTAATAAATCCATTCTGCAAAAATATTTTAGTTTATAACCAGTATGCTATGGATTAGATTGTTTATTTGTGTAATGAGTAAGGATGAATTCTCTGACGTTCTGCTGAACTATTTATTTATGTAGTGTTTAGTGAGCCTCTGGAGATATTCTTAAGTGATCCATTTTGTCTTTGGTTTCATCACATAGTGGTTTATCCACATGTGATATTATATCAAGGGTGTTTGGATGTCCAAATTTTTGTCTCTGGGGTAAGATGTGACATTTTACTCTTGGCTTTTTTGACTTGACCTAGAAAATATCATTTTATGGAATTCTATTTACTTTTAGATACAGTCCTTTGTATCTTTGGATAAGAAGCTGTTGCAGTTTGTAAAAAGGAGGGTTAAGAAAACAAAAAAATGTATACTCTTGACACACATCACACATGTACACTGAAATTTCAGACTGTTTTGTATATTTTGTTAATTTCTCCTCTCACTATGCAAGGGGGGGAAATGATGACTAGGCAGATGAGTATTAAGGACTCATCTTTATTTTCTGTGCTTAGTTTTAGCCATATAGTAAGTGGTGATTTTTCTCTCATACCAAATTTTTAGTGGCTGTATTTTAATCACATGTAACAGCTTATGCTAAAATGTTTATTCAAAATATTTTCCATTGTTATTTACCACCAGTTTATTATTGTAATCGTAGATCTCAAATTCACAAGCAACTGAAAAGAATGATACAAGTGGTGGGCAAGGTGACCGGAATCATCTCATCACGAAGCGGGATCTCACCCTCAATGAAGGAGATGTTCACACTTTGGTAAGTGCCATCCCAACAACTAGCACTTTGAATGTTTTAAACTATGTGATTATAGAACTGATGCCAAAGAACATTTCAAAAATAACAACAGCTGTGCTGCAAAGAGCTATATATTTTAATACCATTCACTCCTCTTACTGTCCTCTTCCTAACTGGATTAACACCACATTTTATTCAAAGGATCTATCTTTATAGATTGCTGATAAAAATGTTTTATATTCTAACTTATTTTTCTGACTGCACTCATTTAACTGACCTCTTTCTTGGTCTCACTCTAATCTTTGCAACTTATGTGCAGTATTGTAGAAAAAACCCGGAAGGCCTCAACAAAAAATGTGAGAATAATTAACATTATGATCATCTTTTGTTGAGTCAGCCTGTCTAATGACTATAATATTATAGAGGGGTTTGTCACTCCAGTTCTTAAAATTTAACATGTTAAAAGATGTTAAAATTTAACATCTGCAAACCATAGCTAGCAGAGCACCTGGTGTGATGTTTATGTTCACTAGCAGTCACCAGTTACTTTCCTATCTCCGAATTCCATGGTTCTTCTTAGCTCTCTTTCAGTTTAAGTGCTCAGTGACTTTTGGGTACAGTTAAGCACTTCGTCCTTTATGAAACATTCCTATCTTACTTCTAGAACACTACTCTCTTGGTTGTCCTCCTACCACAACTCTCTATACTTCTTAATCTCCATTTCTAGGCTTTTAAGCTCCAGAGAGGATTTTTAGGGCTCAGATGTCTTGCTGTTCCACTTGCAGCCATTCATTATGTCTGTGGTCCAGTTTTGTAAATACCCCACCTTTCAGGTATTCATTGGCCACATGTAGCTAGTGGCTACCACTTAGAGAAGTGCAGGTATATCCACACTGATGATTTCTGTCACTGTAGAGGTTATATCCCACAGTTCCTGTGAGATGACCTTAATCATTCTCAGGGCTATTAAGTACTATTTCTGTATAGATGAGTTTGATTTATATTTCCAACCCAATCCTCTGTGTTGAACTCCAGACTCTTATCATCCAACTATCTACTGGAACTCTTCTTAAATATTTAATAGGAATCTTACACTTAATGCAAAGAACATACCCTTGAGTTTTCCCAAGGCTAATCTTTCGGTGGTGTCCCACATTTTAGTAAATACCAACTCGTTTCTCTGTCTAAAACATGGGCATTGTGCCTGACTCTTTTCTTTCTCTTAAACTTCATATCAGCAAATTCTGTCATTATCTACTTTCAGAACACACAGAAAGTGACCCTTTGTTGCCGTCTGTATCACTGCCACAATCTGACCCAGGCCACCTTCCTCTTGCACTTGAACTATTGCCAAATCTCCAGTTAGACTCCGTGTTTCTGCCCTTATCCCCATGACAGTGTATTTGCCACATAGAAGCCATAGTGACTCTTTTTAAAAAGTGGTCAAGTCATGTCACTCCCAAGGACTTCCCTATAGCTCAGACAGTAAAAAATCTCCCTGCAATGCAGGAGACCCAGGTTCGATCCCTGGGTTGGGAAGATCCCCTGGAGAAGGGAATGGCAACCCACTCCAGTAGTCTTGCCTGGAGAATGCCATGGACAGAGGAGCCTGGCGGGCTACACTCTGTGGGATCACACAGAGTCAGACATGACTGAGCGACTGACACTACTACTGTGTCACTCCCGTGTCTTCCCGTCTAACTCAGGAGAAAACCAGAGCCTAAACAGCCTTCGGGGCAAACAGGATCTGGGCCCTTCTGCCTTGCTGCCTGCCTTTGCTCTCCTTCTCTGCCCTCCCCATTTTGGTCACCTTGCTTTTCACTGAACTGAGAGCCCCAAGCCTGTTTCTACCTCCTAATTTTGAAAATTGCTCTCCCCTTAAAATGCTCTGCCCAGCTATCTCTGTGGCTTACTCCCACATCTCCTTCTGCTGTTCTTCAGTGACAGATTGGACTTCCCTGACCAACCCATGTGAATTCGAAGTTACCTTCTACCTTCATCCCACTTTTGATCCTGTTCTTTCTGTCCTCGTACAGAATCACATTTTTAAAATATTTGAGATAAAACTTAGATAAAATTTGCCGTTTTACCCATTTTATTTTATTTTTTTTCTCATTTTACCCATTTTAAAATGCACGATTTAGTAATCTCTAGTATATTCACAACATTCACATCATTATCTAACTCCAAAATATTTTCATCATTTCCAAAAGAAACACTGTGCATTAAGCAGCCACTGCCTTCTCCCCTACCACCTGTCTCTGGAGACCACTAATCTACTTTCTGGTTCTAAAGATTCATCTATTTTGAACATTTCCTATAAATGAAATCATATAAAATGTGGCCTTTTATGTTTGGTTTCTTTGACTTAGCATAGTGTTTTTGAGGTTCATCATGAAGCATGCATTAGTACTTCAGTTGTTTTGTGGCCGGATAATATTCCATTCTGTGGATAATACCACATTTTGTTTATGCATTTAGCAGTTGATGAATGTTTGTGTTGTTTCTGCTTTTTGCCTATTTTGAATAGTGCCACTGTAAACATGTACAAGGTTTTGTGTGAACATATATTTTAATATTTTTGAGAATAAATCTAGGGGTCCAATTGCTGGGTCATATGGTCATATGGCCAAACTTGATTTAACTTTTGAAGAACTGCAAAACTGTTTTCCAAAGTGGTTGTACCATTTTACATTCCCAACTAGCAGTGTAAGAGGGTCCCAATTTCTCCACATTCTTGCCTTCACTTGCTATTTGCCTTCAAAGAAAATTTTTTTGTAGTCATCCTTATTGGAGTGATATAGTACCTCATTGTAGTTTTATTTGGATTTCCCTAATGCCTAATGGTGCTGAGCATTTATTCATTTCTATATCTTCTTTCGAGGAATCTCTCTTCAAACCACTTGCTCGTATTTAAATTGGGTTGTTTGCTTTTTGTTGAGTCATGAAGTGTTCTAGATGCTACCCTGACCAGAGCTGTTACTGCACATGTTTTCTCTCATTCTGTAAGTTGTCTTTTTACTGTCTTGATAGTATCCTTTGATGCGAAAAAGCTTTTAAATTTGAAGAAGTCCAAATTTTTCAAGTATATTTCTTTTTGTGTTGCTTATATTTTTACTGTCATATTTTAAAAACCATTGTCTACCCCAGAGTCCTGGAGATTTACACCTAAGTTTTCTGGTTTTCTGAGTTTTATAATAGCTCTTACTTTTATATCTCTGATCCATACAGAGTTAATTTTTGTATATGGTGTGAAATAGAAGCCCAGGTTCATTCTTTTGCATGTGGTTTTCCAGTTCTTGCAACATCATTTGTTGGAAAGACCTAGCTCTTCCCTTTAAATGGTCCTGACTCCCTTGTTGAAAATGAATTGACTGTGAATATATGGGTTTATTTCTTGACTCTTAATTCTGTCCCATTGATCTATACATGTATCCTAATGCCAATATCAAAATTTCTTGATTATTGTTTTTCTGCAGTAAGTTTTGAAGTTGAGGGGTGTGAGCCCCCCTTCCCAGTGCTGCTGCTTTTTCAAGAGTGTTTTGGCTGGTTGTTGTTGGTGGTGGTTTAGTTGCTCAGTCGTGTCTGACTTTTTCAACCCCATGGACTGTAGCCGGCCAGGCTCCTCTGTCTGTGGGATTCTCCAGGCAAGAATACTGGAGTGGGTTGCCATTTCCTTCTCCAGGGAATCTTCCCAACCCAGGAATCAAACCCAGGTCTCCTGTATTGCAGGCAGATTCTTTATCAACTGAGCTACAAGAAAAGCCCTGGCTAGTTGGGGTTCCTGGCAATTCCATGTGAGTTTTAGGACCAGCTTGTCCATTTCTACTAAAACACTTGTTGAGATTTTGATAGCGATTTTATTAGCTCTGTGTATCGCTTTGAGAGTATTGCTATTTTGATGTTAAGTCTTTCAGTTCTTGACTATGAGCTATCTTCTTTATTTCAAAAATACTTTGTCATTTTCAGTGTACAAGTCTTACATTTCCTTGGTTAAGGAGCTTCTATATATTTTATTCTTTTTGAATTCTGTTTAAAATAGAATGTTTAAAAAATTTTCATTTTCTTATTTTTCATTGCCAGTTTATATAAAAATAATTCACATTTGTATGTTGATCTTGTGTTCTGTACCTTTTATGTACTTGTTTATTAGCTTTAGTAGTTTTATTGTGGATTCTTTAAAGTTTTCTGTAAGTATTCTATCATCTGAATAGAGATAGTTTTTTCCTTCTGATCTGGATACCTTTTATTTAATATTTTTTTTTGCTTAATTGCACTGGCGAGAACCTTCTGAACAGTGTAGAGTAGAAGTATCATGAATGGACATGGTCGTACAGTTCCTAATCTCACAGGAAAGCATCCTTTCTTTCACCAGTAAGTATGGTGTTAGCTGTGGGCTTTTCATAGATGCCTTTTATCAGGTCAGAAGAGTTTGCTTTTGTTTCTAGTCATCAACTGGAGGTGTCACTTACTGGATAGCACTGTTGTCAGGTGTATGCATATGACATACAGTTTATGTCTAATGCAGGTTGACGAGCACATAAAAGATGGTGAATATTTGTTACTTCTGTCTGCCTTTAAGTAACCATTAAAAATACCGAAGGTGGCAAAGACCATCAACATGCCACTTGATTTCTACAGGTCTGACACGGAATAACTATTAAAGATTCACTGTGTTTCTCTTTCTTTTCCACAGGCATAATGTGATCTGATTTTCATGTCTTACTAAAATCACCATGCTCTGGGTTTGCCTAAAGAATGTTAAGTTCTAGTTATAAAAGTAAATATTTTAATATTATAAAGTTTATCCTTCCATAACAAATCACAGTAAAACCAATCCCTTCATAACAAGAAACATTCATAGGTTCAGCTGTTAGCTTGCTCATTTTAAACATTATTGCTTTAAGGCAAAAGAATCTAGATCTCTTTAGCTTTCATATAAAACCAGTCAAATGTCTAACTTTCATATGTTGGAGAGATGATAGAATGATCTTTTCTTTTAAGTAAGTAATTTTTGTGGCAGGGTTGTGGAATTGCTGAATGCTTGAAGATTGTCTGCCAGGTGGGGCGACTGGACAGAGGAAAGAGTGCAATCCTGTATGTAAGGTCTCTACTGTGGACCGAGACCTTTATGAATGTAAGTGGGCAGAGGTGGCATTCAGCAAATTTACCCAGTTTTTCAAAGAAATAAAAAAGGCCTGACATCTAGAAAATCATCTTATTGTTATTCCCATATAGAAGGAAAACCAGAATCATTCATATTCTTTGAAATCGTCTGCTTCATTTAATGTCATAGAGTTTCCTTATAAAAACCTTCCAATTGAGGACATCTTCAACTCCACATTGGTAAGTCATTGATTTTGGGAAATGAAATAAGTGCATTCAGTTAAATACTGTAGTTGTTTTTTATTTTAAATATTAGCAATTAACTGTTTTCATAATTTAAAGTAATTGAGTTATTTGAATGGATTATAACCTAGTTTAATACTATTTTACTCCCTCATCCCAGACTTATTAAAGGTAGACTTTTACTTTAGCATATTATTGTAATATACTTAGCATATACTGAATTTCATGTGGGAAAATTTGGGGAATCTCTCCCCACAAAGTTAGAATGTTGGAAATTAACTGTGGTAAGTAAGGGCATTTTATAGATCTTTAATTGGAGGATTAAAATGAAACCAATGCATCATAAAGTGGGTGGTCAGATTGTTTAAAAAAGCATTTCAGAGACAGTCAGAAGTTAACCTGAAGTTGAGAGTTTCATGTGTTTATATGCTATTCATGCCAGATGTGTAATGATAACTATACTACATAACATACTAGAAAATAATGTCAGTAACATTAACTTAAAATATAGTATATATTCAGATATTTGTTGAATAACTCAGTGAACTATTTTAAGACTCAAGAAATTTTTTCTCCCCAACAGGTTACCACTAATGTCACCTGGGGCATTCAGCCAGCACCCATGCCTGTACCTGTGTGGGTGATCATTTTAGCAGTTCTAGCAGGATTGTTGTTACTGGCTGTTTTAGTTTTCGTAATGTACAGGGTAAGTGATGGACTTAGGAAGAGAGGGAGAGAGGGGAAGCAGAAGAAAAGAAGGGAGGGAAGAAAAAAGGGAGGGACCTTTAATGATGATATATGATGAGCACTCCTTATCATTTGAAGGAAGGAAAGTTGAACTTAAGTACCATTTTAAATTTTCTTGGTCATATTATGGTCACTCAGAATACTTTCTGTATTCTTCATTGATGTAGCAGTGATGCTAGTTTTTTTCTTTCAACTGACAGATGGGCTTTTTTAAGCGTGTACGGCCACCTCAAGAAGAACAAGAAAGGGAACAGCTTCAGCCTCATGAAAATGGTGAAGGAAACTCAGAAACTTAACTGTAATTTTTAAGTCACGCTACATCCTGATCCATTAGAAGTTCCAACTTCAGTTTAGATTTTAATTTCCTTCCTGAGGAATAAAATTCCAAGACTGTACTGCTGATGGTGCCCATTGGTATTAACCACAAAGTGAGAACAATATTTATCATCCTTTTCATTATAATTAATTTCAGACATACATTTAATACACCTACTGACTTGTGTTTTTAGGTATTTAAATAACATTTCAAGTGATAGGTCTTCTTCAATGTACATAAGATAGCACCTGAATTACCACTTTATCTAAAATAGTACCTCCTACAGTTACTGTTTCTGATTTTGTATGTTGGATTTTGTTTGTCGTCGTTCTTGTTGTTTTAAAGCAATCCAAATTTGGACCTTAGGATCCACATCTTTTGTGCAGATACATAATATTAATACACGTTACACTACACTTGAGTTTTCAAGCTAACTTCATAGCTGTATAAACTTGGATTTTAATATTACCTATATGGTAGGACTTTAAAAAAAAGAAAAAAAGCATGATCCCATCAAAACTCTTTCTTGTAACTGCAAAGGTACAGATTTTTGTTTTAATGTAAAAGTTGAGTACATGCTATTAAACTTTTATTTATATTTTTATCCACAGTCCATTTGATGACATTTTATTTTGTATAAGTTTAAATTCTATTTCAAATTCTTTAAGTCACCTTATACTAAACGATTAGTTTTTCCTGGTAACTCAGCAGTAAAGAATCTACCTGCAATGCAGGAGATGCGGGTTCCATCCCTGAGTCAAGAAGACTACCTGGATAAGGGCCTGGCAACCCACTCCAGTATTGGAGTTCTCTTGCCTGGAAAATTCCATGGATAGAGGAGCCTGGCAGGCTTTGGTCCATGGTGTTGCAAAGAGTTGGACTTGACTGAGCAACTAATACACACATAAGTTATATTTCAAATCCTTTAAGTCAACTTATACTAAAAATTAGTTTTATAGTCAAAATTGCCTCTTTTGTATAATTGTTTAATTTCTGCTAAACATCATGATGCTTGAAGCTATATGGAATTGGAAATCGTTTCCAAAGTATATTCTATTGCATTAGTCTGGCTATAGACAATACCAAAAAAAAAAACCCATTTAAATTAAAAGGTAGTTCTTTGACAGAGTTGCTTATTGATAGTTTGTTCTTAGATTAGAGCAAGAGTTTTTAGTTGGGATTAATTTATTTTCCTCCTATATATGTATTTTTCCTTATATTTTCAAAATTGTTATTGAGAATGTGTCAAGATCAATGAGAAGACTTTACAATTTATAAGAATGTGCACTCAATCTTTGAATCCCACGAGAAATGCATGGAATTGAAATTCTTAAGGTAGCTCACTGGTTTACTTCAGGCAATAGCATGATGCTACTCGCATGGATATTACCTCAGTTGAAACCAGGTATAACATGTAAAACCAGTCTCAGCTATCATCATAACTTCTTAGAGGTTATTTTATAGGCAATTCAAGTTATTGGAAACCTTTTACAATTTTCTTAGTCTTATTAATATGAACTACTTTTCTAGGATTTTTAAGTAAAAGATGTACAGGTGGGCAAGTTGTAGTTTTTTAAGTCTGTAGGGTGATGAATCTTCTAGAAGATTATGTGAATTATTCACAGTTCCTCTAGGCCTGGGGATAACTGTTAATTATACCTATTTTTGTGTAATTACATCATGTTGTGCATTAGAAATTGAGAGTTCAATAGCTTTTTAACTACTGCCTTCATTAGGCGATGATAAACATTTCCCTTAGATAACTGAATATTTTTCCATGTTTTAAAAATAATTGAAATTTTCTTGCCATGGCTTGTGTTATAACTCCTTACACAAGTGGCTAAACTAGAATACATTCATAAAATAGAGGCATATGTAGGTGAGTTGTACAAGTTAGAGCATTGACAAGACCCTATATTTAGCTTTAGTGATTTTCAAAATTAATTGGTTTTGTAATATAGACTTTACTAGTAGCTTAAAAGATTGTAGTAGTCATATACAATAAGTATTTTTGTTACCAATAAATTTAAAGTTTTTTAAGTAAAAACTTTTTTATCATAGGGCCTGCCACCAGACAGTTGCTAAGTTGGTCTAGAACAGCGTTTACCTCACCTGTTTTCCCATCTAATACCAGTCATTCCTTAAAATATCTGTTAGATAGAAAGTCACTCTTTCAAAAAGTTAAATGTTACTATTTGCTTTTGCACAATCTGTTCCTTTTATGGCCTCTTCTCTCAAGATATAATCTTTTATGAGAGATTGAAGAAGGAGCCAAGATTGCACAGTTGGGAGAGCATTAGACTGGAGGAGACTGAAGGGTCTTGTCATGAAAATTAACATGTTGTTTTAAATTGCTCTTATGAACTGTAGTTTAAAGCAATAGTATTTTCTTTTAAAAAAAAAAGAAAGAAAATTTTATCTCTACAACATATGGTAGTCTAGTCTTCGAAGACTAACAACCTAGTCTTTGAAGAAAATATTTGGCAAAATGTCGGGATTAAAGTAACGTGAATGTTTTGGTTAAAATGTCAAAAAATAATCACTGCTGTATTTATGCTTTATTGAGAACTGAAAGCTGTTTTGACTGTAAAATTCCTATAATCTGATTCAGTTTAAGAAATCACATATCGTTGGAGTTGGGGATATCATAAAACATTTGATAGTGGTGAGAAATTGATGATGCTGTTGATTTCTTATGTAGGCATTTATTTCAGACTTAATATTTTGAGAAACATTTGTGTGAGGGATGCTCTTTCCTTTTCTTCCCTTTAGCTTTCTGTTGTAATTAGTGATTATTGTAATTCTGATTAAGTTCTTAATACTGAGTTGTAAAACAGTTAATCAAAATATTAGTGCCACAGTTCTGTTTTGAAACTAATTATTCATAGTAAATTCTCATTAATACTTTATATAAAGAGAAAATTCAAGTGTTAGAGGCTATACTGACTTCTTTAATAGGATGTGAAAGATTTCTGATAGTGAATCATAACCCTAAGAGAGATTTATGTGGCAAAAGTATAGTGTATAATCAGCGGGTTTTTTATAAGGCATACAGTCTGTAAATTGATAGATGTTCCTGTGTTACAGAATGTAGTGTTGAGCTTGCAAAGAATAAGCCATTCTTGGAATATTTGTGTACAACTGTTGCTTATCTCAGTATCACTGTGTTAGTGCTCTTGGATAGCTTATATATGTGATAGTTTGATTAATAAGAAAAATACAAAATTTGAAAATTGAATATAAGATCAAAAATAGCGAATGAAATGATGTAATGCTCAGTGTTGTAGAGAGTATTTCTTTTAACTTGTTGGTAGGCTAGTTTGGACAATGAACGTATGAACATGTAGCATGCATGTATGCTTGTATTTCATTGTAATTTCTCATACATAATGAATTTCTTGGCAGAGGTACTGAAATCTTTGATTTTTTTTTGCTGTCATTCTTCTCAAGTGCAATATAACAATATAACCAAACCTAGATATTTCAAAGTCTAATTTAGTAAACCTAATCTAAAAGAATTTATTAGTATTTTTGTTAGCAGGAAGGAGGGATTCTGAGATGGATATATGAATGAAGTTATTTGCCCCTAAAAGGTCCTTCTACCCTTTATTCATTCTACACTTTATTTCAGGTTGAACGTGAACTATTCCCTGCTAGTTTTGAAACACTTTGCAGTATCTTAAAAGGTTACTTGGAAGTTGTGTATATCAATTAATTTCCTACCTAGGTAACATAGAAAGTCATTTTCTTTCTTTAGCTCTCTTGTGATCACCCACATTGGGTGAGGCATAAAATGAGTGTGTTCTAAAATTTATGATTTGCTAACTTGATTTGAGTTAGTGAAAACTGGTACAGTGTTCTTCTTACTAGTTTCCAGTATGTAACTTGTGTCTGTTCAATAAACTTGAGCATGTGGTGCCACTTTTGTGTATGGATGTTCTGTTTTCCTTCTATGATGTTGTTTTTTTAATCACAGGAGCCAGCAACAATGCACTAAAAGGATGACCTCTTTAAAAGTCACATCAGTCCCAATTCTTAGGAGTGTTAGTTGGGAGGTGGAGGTTGACGTATATACACTACTGATACGTGTCTAACACAGATAACTAATGAGAACCTACTGTATAGCTTAGAGAAATCTACGCCATGCTCTGTGGTGACATAATGGGAAGGAAATCCAAAAACAGAGGGGTAAATGTAAACATATAGCTGATTCACTTTTCAGTACAGCAGAAACCAACACAACATTGTAAAGTAACTATATTCCAATAAAAACTCATAAAAAATTGAAATCTATCTACCTTTCTACCAACCTGCTGTAATAAACATATTATGCTCAAGCAAGAAAAATTTTGACTTGTTGATTCAATCAGCCAAGTTACCAATCGGTGTTGGGCCTTGTGGCAGGAACTGGAGATACAGCTGTGACCATGATGGCCCTGGTTTTTGTGGAACCTACACTAGTGAGGATACAGGCAAGAAAATATCTGTTTTATGTAATAAGAGTCCTAAGGGGAAATAAGAGGTGTGGTGAAAGTTCATAGCAGGGGTTCCTAATCAAAGCTAAGGCTATCAGGCAAAGTAGCCTCAAGAAAGTAATATACAAGCTAACTTCAGTGTCTGTGGGGGCTTGTCAGATAAAGACATGAGGGAGTAGAGGTCCAGGCAGAGGAAATCAGTATCTGCAGTCCAAATAATTCAGTTCTAGCCCAAGGGAATAAAATATACCCTTCCCTTCCCTTCTCTCCTCCCAAGAACCCCCATCTCTGTATTTATGTAGGAAATGTCAAAAGATGAGCCTGCATAGTCAAAGGATATATTGTAAAGGGCTTTGTCAATTTGTTGGGGATTTTGGATGTTTTGCTAAGAGCAATAGTGAAGTACCAGGAGATCTTAAGCAGGGAATAATCAGATAATAAGCAGGGAATAATATAGTATGTGTATGGTATTATTCTCTGCTTTCTGATGGCTCCTGCAGTATATTTATAAAAACAAAAGTTCTAACATTAGTGATTACATTATATGTGAGAGTTGGACCATAAGGAAAGCTGAGCACTGGAGAAGTGATGCTTTTGAATTGTGCTGGAGAAGACTCTTGAGAGTCCCTTGGACTGCAAGGAGATCAGACCAGTCCATCCTAAAGGAGACCAGTCCTGCGTGTTCATTGGAAGGACTGATGCTGAAGCTGAAACTCCAATACTTTGGCCACCTGATGCAAAGAGCCAACTCTGGAAAAGACCCTGATGCTAGGAAAGATTGAAGGCAGAGGGAGAAGGGGCTGGCAGAGGAGGAGATGGTTGGATAGCATCCCTGACAATGGACATGAATGTGAGCAAACTCCGAGAGAGGAAGACAGAGGAGCCTGGTGTGCTGCAGTCTATGGGGTCACAGAGTTGGACATGACTTAGTGACTGAATAACACCATAAACATGAACACTATCATGGATTAAGAATTGAAAATAATTTCCTAGACTAACTAGCATCTTCCATTGCTTTGTAAAACACACTGGCTGACAGGTAAAGTACATGCAGTTGGCAGGACACCCCTTCATCCACATCTACTTGGTTTTGTCCCCATCCGTTGGCCTGTATCTATGCCAAAAGTCAGTTATGTTTCTTTACACAGTTGTTTTTTTGGCAGTTTTGTGTGTTATGAGGAATGGATGAAATATAAATTTAAATGAAGTATGTTTTTCTATGAAGAAAAAGTGGGTCAGGAAATTGTAAAATTGGAGAGAAATTACAAATAGAAAGATTTGGCATTCAAATTGCTTGACAAGAGTTTTTAAGAACTTCCACTTAACTGAAAACTTCAACTAATAGGCGTGCATTGTAATTGTGGTTTACTACTTCAAACCCTTGGGGTTTGGTTAAAAAAAAAAAGATTGACCCTACATCAAAAGGTTGGTAAGTGAATATATATCTGCTTATTTTAAAATATGTTTAAAATATATTGATTTTTGTCTCTTGACCTACTTCTTTGATTCAACTATTAGCCCTGATTGCATCAAATAATATGGCTTTTGTACATTGCACAAAAATAAAGCATAAACCATGCGTAATGGAGCATTTAAAAGTCATTTAAAAACCATCTTGATTATTCTTGCTTCTTCAAATAGTCTATAGTACTGAAGGGTATCACACCCATCCTCCTCCATTGGTGGCTGTGAAATCAGCAACTTTGCCTCTGGAAGGTCAGTTTCTAATATATTAAAGATGACTTGGCCACCATAAGGTAGGATGACAGAAAATTCTGGCAACATTCCTTTCCTTCTGATCTGCTAGTCATTAATCTTGAGCCATTTCCATTTTCTCCTTTTTTCTCTCCAAGAGGAGAGGTAAATTGGAAGAAAATACAACACACACAGCTTGATGAAACTAATTAAAGACTGCATTCAAGCTTCACCTCACCCCCCAGTAGCTCCTGCTCATACAGGTGAGGCAAAACCATGATGGAATAGTGGTCTTTAGTGTGAGGGCCCTCGTTTTGGCATTTCTCTTCCAAAAATTATGTAGGCCATCGAGTTTATTTTTGTCTAAAAATCACCAAGAAACAATGTAAGCTCATTTCAGGTTTCAAACAGTGCAGAAAGGTAAAGGCACATATTAGTATAGCCTTGGGCAAGACAGTTGCTCCTCTGATCTTAAGTGTTTCCACTTACGAAACAGGATGTTGTTGTTCATCACTAAGTTATGTCCAACTCTGCAACCTCATGGACTGCAGCATGCCAGGCTGCGCTGTCCTCCACTATTTCCTGGAGTTTGCTCAAACTTGAGTCCATCAAGTCGGTGATGCCATCCAACCATCTAATCCTTGGTCACCCCCTTCTCTCCTTGCCCTCAATCCTTCCCAGCATCAGTCTTTTTGAAAAGAAAAGGAAAATGAGAGCTAATTTGTAGAACTGCTCTAAGAATATGTGATAACGTGTGTTAGAATGCCTATTATTTTTTATGGAACTAGTTTCATATCTTTGACCAAAGAGTAATTTTACATGAGTGAGAAATTTGTTCTTTTCCAGCATGTTGGGAAAATTGGAAGGAACACAAAAGAGTGGTGAGTGTGGAAAGGGACTGTCCACTCAGCCAGATCAGCTGAATCTAGAATGAGGGTAAAGGAAGGGATGTCGTAGATTTTATTTACATTATATGATGAGATGTCCCAGAGGAACTCCAAATACAGAGACTACAGCTGACCAGGCCACGGCTTATCACTGATTCTGTAGTCAGTAGTACCAGCTAATTTGAAAATGTCTTAAGCAGCCAAAATCTCAATTTGGCAATTTGAATCATACTGCACATACCTTTCTCCTCACTTCTCCATATCAGTCAACCATGTCTGCTGATTCTAGCCCTACATACTAAATCTCCCATTCTTTTTCTACACCTTTCCTCTCTTTTCCACTCTCACTAGCCTTTGGTATTTTCTCACTGGCTTTCGCAAACACCACTACACCGGCCTCCTCTCCGCCAATGTACCCCTCAAAAATCCATCTTCCATACTGATAGCATAGTGATCCTTTGAAACAGACTGGCAGCAAGTCCCTTCCCTGATTAATTTCTTTCACTATTTCATAATCACTTGCAGTGTAAATTTCAGTTTCCTTATGTAACATCCAAGGTTAATGTTGTTCAGTCACTAAGCCGTGTCTGACTCTCTGACCCCATGAACTGCACATGCCGGGCTTCACTGAGTCTGTTCAAACGCAGGTCCGTTGAGTTAATGATGGCCATTTAGCCATCTCATCCTCTGTTGCCACCTTCCCCACTTGCCCTCAATTTTTCCCAGCATCAGTCTTTCCAATGAGTCGACTCTGCATCAGGTGGCCAAAGTATTGGAGCTTCAACTTCAGCATCAGTCCTTCCAGTGAATCCATGGTTGATTTCCTTTAGGATTGACTGGTTTAATCTCCTTGCTGTCCAAAGGACTCTCAAGAGTCTTCACCAGTGCCACAGTTCGAAAGCATCAATTCACCGGTGCTCAGTCTTCTTTAAGGTTAATGTAACAGGAGTTAATGTGTATAAAGTGCTTGAACAGTGCTTCCACACTATGTACTATAGAAGTGTTTGCTGTTTTTTTTTTTTTTTTAATGACCTGATCTCCACTGTCCTTTTCGATCTAAAACACTCACTCCATGACAATCATTGTTCACAATTTTCCAAGCACACTGCACTGTTACCTCTAGGTGTATACACACACACACACACACACAACTCCACTTTTTAGATGACCTGGTTGCACCCACCTATGTGTGGAACTCATAATCTTTCAACCCCACCTCTCCTAGTGTTTCATAGCCCCCTTCCATATACCACATTGTTAATTTCTTCCAATTTGATGTAATTTCTGCGTGTTGTAGTGTTTCTTCATCACCTTGGATTATAATTTGCTTTTATGTTCCTCTGCCCTAACAGGTAGTGAGCTCTAGAATGCAGGGATTCTATCTTGTTTATTCAAATCCTGATCAAAATATTGGAACGTACGCGGTAAGCATCTCGTAGGCATTTAGAAAAATATTTTTTGAGCAAATGAAAACTGTAGTCTATAATTAGACAGAATGTAATTAAGGACATTATATGATACAGAAAGAAAATTCTACTTGGGAAGAAAAAGGAAGTTTAATCAATTTTGAGCTAACCAATGATGGCCGCGATACCCCAAAGTCCATATGGTTAAGAGATCCTGGCTTTTGCATTCGTTGGTGCGGCCTTGCGTGTTGTAGGAGGGTGATTAATATGCTAATATCACCTGCTCTTCTACTTTGCGGTCAGGTGGAGGGAATTTTATTCCACTTTCTGCAGAATTTCTCAGTGTCTCGGTAGGGGCTTGAGGACCTGGTCTGCCAGCCCCCTGAAAGGCTCTCCTTTTTCGTTTACCCTCGGAGGCCACCAGTCGCCCGGCGCCCCACCACCCCGCCGGTGCGCGCCCTCGGAGCAGCCCAGCCCCGGGCTGACCGCGGAGACGCGGTCCCTGGCGCCGGGTTCGTCCCGCCTCCCGCATCACGTGCGCGAGGATGCTAACTTCCCCCTCCTCCTCCCGCGGCGTCCCCTCCGCCTCCGCGGCCTCCTTCTGCTGAGCGAGTGCGAGGCAGACTGCGCGAGGGGGCGCGAGCGGGCGGGCGCAGCCGGAGCCCGCAGCCCTGGCGCCCGCCGCCGCCCGCAGCTCCGCAATATGCCGCCGCGGCCCTCTGGCTCTCGGCCATGGCGAGGTTCAGCCGGCGCGTCCCTTGCACCCTGCTCCTCGGCCTGGCCGCGGTGCTGCTGAAGGCGAGGCTGGTCCCCGCGGCCGCCAGAGCCGAGCTCAGCCGCTCCGACCTCAGCCTCATTCAGCAGCAGCAGCAGCGGCAGCGGGAGGAAGCCGAGGAAGAGAGGCCGGAGGTGCCCGGGGCATCCTCCACAGTCGCCGCTCCAGGTAGGTCCCGGGAGCCCGGCCCTGCCTTCCCATCTCCGCCGGCAACTCTTCTGATTTCGCTGGCCGCCTCGCGCAATCCCTAGCCAGATGGTTTTCCATCGCCTGTTACCCACCCCCCACCTCCACAGCCTGCCTGCCCAGGACTGGGGCTTTGCTTTGGTTTCGAGAATCTGCCCTTTGGGTGATGAGCTTTCTGGTAAGCGCAGAGTACTGCAGTGGGGCGGGGAGGGGGCGGGAGGGGTGGGATTGAGAGACTGCCTCGATTGATCCTTTTCTTCTCCTCCCTTCGTGAATTTCCCCTCTGCCCTGGGGATGATTGTGTATACACACACACACACACACACACACGGTTCTCAAATCCTTTTAGGCTGGGGAATGATTTACACACACACACACACAGACACACGGTTCTCACATCTCTTTAGCCTTCTGTTCTGTAACGTTTTCTCTCCTGGAGACTGAAAAATTTTGCGATAGACACCCACACACCCCTTTTCATCATCTGGCTCCGCCTGTATATTTAAATTTGGCTCTAGAGAAAAATCTTGATTTATTTTATTATTTATTTCTATCTCTTCTTATCCTGGGAATGGTTTTCAGGCAGTTTGTAAGAACGTCTTCCGTTTAATAAAAATGAAACAAACCAAAAATGAAATAGGAGTTTGTGATTGAAGGAAAGGGAAAAGGAGAGAGGGGTTGGTTGAGATCAAGTCTGTAGTGGATGTTGGTATAGCAAGGCCTGCCCCCAGAGAGAGGAATCTCCTTACTTGTTAGGAGGTAATGAGGCAGATTCTCCGCACTATTCAGTGAGGGTGATGAAGTCCTTTTCAGTATCTGAAGCTCTAACAGTCCCTCCGTTCCTGCCTGGTTCCCCTCCATTAAGGCTCCACCGGTAAGGGAAAAGGCGGGATTGTCCATTTTAATAGCTTCTCCCCACCCCCCACCCCAGTTCCCTTCCCTACTGTAAAAGCTGCCTGCTATTTGGAAAAAAAAAAAAGCCATCGGGTTTCCGCAAAACCGAAATGAATGGTAACATTTATTTTTGCTTTAAAATCCTGCCTAGTAACATCATTCAAGATGCTGAAAACGAGATTTTTGAAGAGTAGGATTTAGTATCTTTTTTTGTACCGCTTGTTCATCCTCAAAGAGCAGTACTGTGACAACACCAGCTGCGATTCCTGACACAGCCAGGATGATTTAATTTATCAGAGTGCTCTGAGCAAAGGATGAAATCACCAAAGTGTGGAGGAAAGCATGCGTTTCTGACACCCTTTTAAACCAATTAATAACACTTGAGCATGGCTGAAAGTCCTGAAAGGTGTGCGGAGTGTGGTGGTTTTCCTGGCTTTGTATAACTGACATTGCTAACCACAGGGTTTCAATGAGGCAGCTGTTAGACACAGTGTTTGCTGAATTTAAGGAAATGGGAGATAGGAGACTGATTGAGAGCCCGTCTTCATGATATCATAAGTTACGGAACAGAAGTCTGAGAGTAGAGATGAATTATGGTTTGCAGTATATTTTTATTTGGATTTATCATCTTTCAGAAATATTCGTTACATGGGTTTTGACTACTGCTGTTGTGAAATAATATGAGAAACTTCTGTATCCTGCATGCATGTGAAAATATTTACTTTCTGATATTTGGGGTAGAATATTTTTGAAAAGGATTATTTGGGGGAAATGCAGTTTTGGAGCATAGTTACCTATTAGACTAACGGAGATAAAAGGAACCACTAGCCAACAGATCAGACTAGAGCCTCAAAAGTATTATGACTCTTGCATTTCCCTCAAAAACTCTACCCCTCCAAGGCAGTGGCAACCAGGAGAGCCATTCAGTTGATTGCTGTTTTAGTTAGAGATACTGGGTTGCATCTCTGGAGAAGGGAACGGCAACCCACTCCAGCGTTCTTGCCTGGAGAATCTCAGGGACAGAGAAGCCTGGCGGGCTGCAGTCCATGGGGTTGCAGAGAGTCGGACACGACTGAGCAGCATTGGTTGCATAATGAAACACAACCTGTACACAAAGAAGTTAAAATATTCCTCTGAGCACATTGTGGTCTAGATTGAACTGGTCTTCCTGCTTCAGCCTTTGTTCCTCTACTCTCTGTTCTCATCACACAGTTAGTAATCTTCTAAAAAATGTTAAATAGGACCATTTCAGCTCCCAGTCCCGCAGTGGCTTCCCATGGCTCTCACACGAGATGCCCAGACCCTGAAAATGGCCTTCAAAGGCCTGGATCCCTCTGTGCCCGCCTCCTGCCTGCGTCCCTTGGCTCCCAGCCTAACTGAGTGCGGGGCCACACTCTCTCTGCTTCTTCCCTTGGCAAGTGGGGTCTGGTGTGGGACCTTTGCGCTTTTCATTTTCTCTGCCTGGAATTCTGGACCTTCACATTCATCAGATTTGCTCAGATATCACTAGAAAACAGAGAAGCTTTTCTGACTGCTATATTAAATAGCAATCTGCATGCCCTTTTCCTACTGATTCTCCTCCAGGGCGTTTAATATCCTCAGCCCTTCTTGTAAACCTGTCTCCTCTTACTAGAATGTAAGTTCTCTGAGGGCATGAACTTTGTTTTGTTCATTATTACATAGAATTATTACATATCTTTCTAGCACCTAGAAGAGCATATGTGACTCACAGGCACACATTAAGTTTTTTGAATGAACGAATAAACTAAAATGCTGGCATTGAACATCTCTTTTACTTTGAGTTTGTGTTATTTAACATCTTGTGAAATTCTTCACTGAAATTTACCAAGGGCATATAAAAATAAATGGTAGGTAGAAATATTTATGGGAGGAGGTTATAAAGTGCATTTATCTTGGACTTTTAATTTTAGCTAATTTCACTGTTTATCTTAAGTTGACTGCAGACAACTTCTAGAACAATACTTAAGTTCACTTTTTAGGTTCTCTCAAGAAGATTCTTTACCCAGGCGCACTTATAATTCTCTTATGACCTAGGAGGGTATTATATACCTTTAAATAGCTCTGACTGAGCCTGGTAGATCTTTCTTTACCTCTGTATGGTGCTTCTGATTTTTCAGACATTTGCCTTTCTCAGGCAAAATTTAGAAAACTAATAAGACATGTTTAGTGACTCATATATGATTGAGCTTCATAAGTCCATATAGAAAAATTGACTGTTGACTTTTACTTCAGATTTTATTATTTTCAAAATTTTTGTCTCTTTATATAGCTGAGAAATAAGAAAGTGGTGTTAAAAGAAGTTGAATATGAGATTTATAAAATCAAGGTATAAAAACAAATCTTTGTTATCTCATTAACTTCTAGAACATCATCCTCAGACTAGCGAGAAAACAGACGAAAGTTGAGATCTGTTTTCTCTGTTGTCTACTGCAGCTCTGATTTCTCCATCTGCACCAGTAATTGTTAGAAATAAATATTTGAGGGATGAGGGAAGAATTAATTTGAGGGTTGGTAGTAACTGAAACGATAATATCATATCCAGTCTGATGGCCGATTAGATGGGAGGCATACTGGGGGTTGGGGTGACCAGAGCTGGAGAAAATGACGAGCTCCATTTCAGATTCTCCACGACAGACACAGGGGACCTCCACGGATTTGTATAAAAGTCTTCTGCATACAGTGAAAGCTCGTTGAGGGGTATGTTTTCACAGTATAAATGTATGTTTATACTGATACACTGTTTATAGCAATGATTGTGTTTCACTGATTCAGTTCAGTCTCTCAGTCGTGTCCGACTCTTTGTGACCCCATGAATTGCAGCACGCCAGGCCTCCCTGTCCATCACCAACTCCCAGAGTTTACTCAAGCTCATGTCCATTGAGTCGGTGATGCCATCCAACCATCTCATCCTCTGTCATCCCCTTCTCCTCTCGCCTTCAATCTTTCCCAGCATCAGTCTTTTCTTTTTTATTTTATTTTATTTTTTTTTATTAGTTGGAGGCTAATTACCTTACAACATTGCAGGGGTTTTTATCATACATTGAAATGAATTAGCCATGGATTTACATGTATTCCCCATCCCGGTCCTCCCTCCCACTTCCCTCTCCACCCGATCCCTCTGGGTCTTTCCAGTGCACCAGGCCCGAGCACTTGTCTCATGCATCCAACCTGGGCTGGTGATCTGTTTCACCCTAGATAATATACATGTTTCGATGCTGTTCTCTTGAAACATCCCACCCTCGCCTTCTCCCACAGAGTCCACAAGTCTGTTCTATACATCTGAGTCTCTTTTTCTGTTTTGCATATAGGGTTATCGTTACCATCTTTCTAAATTCCATATATATGTGTTAGTATACTGTAATGGTCTTTATCTTTCTGGCTTACTTCACTCTGTATAATGGGCTCCAGTTTCATCCATCTCATTAGAACTGATTCAAATGAATTCTTTTTAATGGCTGAGTAATATTCCATGGTGTATATGTACCACAGCTTCCTCATCCATTTGTCTGCTGATGGGCATCTAGGTTGCTTCCATGTCCTGGCTATTATAAACAGTGCTGTGATGAACATTGGGGTGCATGTGTCTCTTTCAGTGAGTCGACTCTTTGCATCAGGTGGCCAAAGTATTGGAGCTTCAGCGTCAGTCCTTGCAATGAATATTCAGGAGTGATTTCCTTTAGGATTGACTGGTTGGATCTCCTTGCAGTCCAAGGGACTTTCAAGAGTCTTCTCCAACGTCATGGTTCAAAAGTATCAATTTGTCAGTGCTCAGCTTTCTTTATGGTTCTACTCTCATATCCGTATATGATTACTAGAAAAACCATAGCTTTGACTATATGGTCCTTTGTTGGCAAAGTAATGTCTCTGCTTTTTAATATGCTGTCTAGGTTTGTCATAGCTTTTCTTCCAAGCAGCAAGCGTCTTTTAATTTCATGGCTGCAGTCACCATCTACAGTGGTGTTGGAGCCCAAGAAAATAAAGTCTGTCACTGTTTCCATTGTTTCTCCATCTATTTGCCATGAAGTGATGGGATGGGTTGCCATGATCTTTGTTTTTTGAATGTTGAG